TAAAAATTTGACTTCATAAAATTTTAATTAGCTAAAAAGTTAAAAAAAAAAAAAAAAGTAGTTAGTTCTACCTAAAAAATTATGAGTAATGCTATAAAATTGTTTAAAGTTAAATGATCTTAATATTTATTTATAATGTCATCAATATCTCATCACTATTATTCAATAATCTATTAAATTTATAATGTTTTTCATTCTTCCTAATTAATTAAATAAACAAAGAAAAAAAGAATCTTTACACTTGAAGTAATAAAAAATCGAATAAAGACTTTGACTTAATTAAACTTTAATTTATAATAAACTAATTAAGAAATAAACTATTTAAGGGTATTTTCACATTTTTAGTCAAATATTAACAGAAAAGTTTTCTAACAGAACCTGACGAAAGATGGAAAAGTGTCATTTTAAAACTTGATGGGTGGCAAAGTGTCATTCGTCAAACCTTGGGTGTGAAAAGTTGTTCTCCCTCTAAAATATCATATAAATAGTAGTCAGCTGACTGCTTTATCAAATTTTTTTACAGAATTTGTGTTTTTATATATCAGAATTCATATCTTTCTATACCCCACGTAGCAACAGTCCAATTCCCACTTAATAGACTCAAAAACATAAGGGCCCTGAGTGGATGATTTGTACATCCCGCGGGGCCGCCTTGCTTAACAATCAAATTCTACTTTTCACATCCTGTTCCCTTTTTTTTTTTTTTAAACCCTGAATTGATTTATTTCTTTTTCTTTTGGGGTTGTTTTTTTTTTTTTTCCTATTTAAATTAGAAACATATGATCGTTATAGAATTAATTTCAAATAATAAGTAAATAATGTAACCAGCACACCCTCAGTTTTGCAGAACCATATCCAACGAGAGAATACGTGCGCTAAGTTATCGCAATGTAACTCATGCAAAGCAAGTAATTTGGGTCTGCTAGACTATTCAAATTGGTGCTGTGAAGTGGGTGATGAGGGCATTATGGGAACAAGCATAAAGACATATAGAGGCATCCATCACTCTTATATCATATGGAGTATATCTAGCTAATCCATACCAAATGTTTTAAAAAAGGAAAAAAATGGAATGAATAGATAGAAACATAAATAAATATTGAAGATAATACACGCAACGAAGAAGATGAAAGAGGAGGAGGCTGCGAATATAATTAAAGAAGAAATGAAGATGATTAAAGCCGAAGGTGAAAGTGGGTCTCATCATATAAGTTACTCACTCGGGTGACCCTAATCATAATACCTATCTACACATATAAATATTTCTCTTTTTCTTATAAAAGGAGATCAACTAATTAACAAATTAAATATGCATGTACCGCATACACACGCGTGCTGCACCAGAGACACCTTTTTTTCTTTTTCAGATGGAGCAAATTGTTTCCTTGATCCACGACTACTATTGTTGTTGTGTTGTGCGGTTGATGGGATATTCGTAGTGACAGATAAAGACTTGGCAGCAACACAATTTGTCTTAGTTGAAATTTCGAAATCCACTTTTTTTTTTTTTTTTCAAGACTTGAGAGTTGAGCTATTCTGTTCTGTATCCATGATTTTCACGAAAGGAGTAAAAGTAAATTTGGGTGAAAGTTAGAATACAGTGAAGAATACTTAATTAGCTAGGGTGAAATGGACCATTTTAAGGTAGGAGGTGGCGTGCATGAACATGGTTAAAAAAGGCTTAAAGCCTAAAGGTCTACTCCATAGATGGATTGAGCGTATTTGGCATTGCTAGAACCATTTTGTTGGCAATGAAATTATTACATTTAATAGCATTACCCACCGACCATCTTCTGCTCAGTCGGTGGGAAATTAACTTTAAATATGTTTTTAAGGAATTGTTTCTCTCTCTTCTCAACAACCATTCTGGCCAGAAGCCAATTTGAGAAAATAAAAATTATAGTCCCTTGGGCCAAAAATTCATCATACTCATGGTTTTGTATTTTTAGCAATCAAATTTCTCTGGACTTAATGGTTTGACAATAAATTACAAAAATGTTAGAGCCAAAAATCGTCTTGGGCTTAACTAGGCCTAATAACGAAATAAACATGTCAAGACTCAAGGTATCAATTCAATCCCGATTGGGTCTATGCTTAAAATCACTTTGTAAACTACCCACTCTATGAGTTGGGCTATCCTATAAGTTAAGCTAAACTGGGTTTCAACCCATTAGCCTACAATAGTCTGTAAATAGGAAATCAGAATCCCATTCTATTTCCTCTTCTACTAAGATTCCAAATCTTACTCAAACTATTAAACTTGATCTAATAAGGTCAAGAAATCATATCTCTTTCATGATAAGGATTATCTCCTAAAATAGGTCTTAGTATCCTACTAAGATTTTAAGGTCAAGAAATCGTATCTCTTTCGGGATAGAGATTATCTCCCAAAATAGGCCTTAGTGTCCTATTAAGATTCCAAATCTTATTTAAACTATTAAACTTAATCTGATAAAGTCAAGAAATCATATTTCTTTCACGACAGACATTATCTCCCAAAATAGGACTTAGTGTCCTACTAAAATTCCAACCCCTTGGGTTCACTATAAAAACAGAGGTTTACCCTCTCATTAGGTATGCAATCTCCCTAGTCAATCTACACTACTCAAAACCATCTATTAACTTCTAAAGTTCTTGCTCTCAAGAACACGACGCTTTCGCCGTAGTTCTAGCTTTCGACAAGACTCCTGATAATTTTTCATCTCCTTAATTTTTATCAATTAATCTTTTTCAGCCTTCTTGACTTAGGCGTCGGAGTGCTTACGGCAAAACATCACCCCAGTGTTTTCTGGAAGCTTCACGCTTGCCTTTTCATGTGTGCAAGTCTAATGGATTGTCAGTGGTCTCAATCTCACAGGATCAGACCCTATTTTCATGATGATAGAATTTTTGCATCTACAAAAAACAAGTGCTTATAGACATGATGCAGAAAGGAAGAGGGAGTATCTTCAATAATCCTTTTTATTAGGAAATAGAGTAATTATTCCCATTCAATTCTTAAAAATTAACAACCAAAAAAAGGATATTAATTGTTTCCATCCTCAGTTATTCCTCTATAAATTTCTTAATTACTTTTCCGCTTACTCTCTCCGTGTAAATGTAATAGACTTGTTATTGAGAAGTATTTTTGGGCTTTATACCCACAGAAACTAGATTGGGCTTTTGTGTGCGAGACCCAGATTACTGATAGGCCTTTCCTCTAGCCACATCAAGGCAAACAGCCCAATATGACGATAAAAAGATGAGCGAAATCCATTAAGATATTGGCTAAAGGAATATCTTCCAACTGATTTTGTTTCTTTTTCTGGAGTCTAGATGCAACGTATCTTTGTGCAGTTAGCTTGACTATAAGAAAAGAAGACACAGAGGAATGGATTTAAAATGAAGATGTAATATCCAAGATATTAATTAGCAATAAGGATTGGTTCACAAACTCTCTCTTACAATCCCGATGTAATAACTCGTAATTGATCAATTCGCAATTAGTCAAACAAAAAAAATTTATAAGAAACCAATTATGACCTATCACGTTGGGATTGTGAGAGAAAATTTGTAATATTGTATTATTAGTGTAGTATTATCCATTAATTAGTAATCCATGCTATCTTAAAAATGTAACGATAACAGAAACGAACACATGGAATGGTGGCCTGTGCCTGTGGGTAGCACCAAGTCCTAAGTGTAAATGCTGAGTGTGTATATTTGCTGAATAGATAGAGCGCGGTAGGTAGCCTTCTCTTTCCAAAAATATGCAATCAGAGTTGCTAATATTATTAGAAAATAATCGGGATTTCAGAATCCATGAGACAATGAACCTGGCACAAAAAAAGGTTTTTGCATGAAGTACTGATCCAAGATGAATATTGTAATTGCATCACTCCCTCAGGGTTGACACCAATTTAATGTACTCAAATCCCTTCAGATGTATTCACGTGTATATTACTTACTGATTTAAAGACAGTCTTCTATAATAGACAAATTGTTTGCTATGTAAACTATGTATTCTTAATAAAACAATTACGCTGCATATTTTAATTATTACGGTATTACCATAAAATAAGGAGACCACCTTAACAATGACAGTCATATGATGAAACATATGATGGACATATGAAGCTTGCAATTCAGTGATGAAACCAATTTAGATCATTTTATATTTGAGTTAGTGTGGATTATGGAGATTATAAATATTTAATAAGAGAATAAATAATATTAACTAGACCTTATTTTAAAATATATTAATAATAACTTTTGAGTACTGTGCTAACAAAAAAATCTTATAATTTTTTCACACAAATGTCGACGTGACACTAAATTAGCTTTACCACGTCAAATCACAATTTGTATTAAATATGAATGGTTGTTCATTCATAAAGAACAGTCGATCCATTCATAAAGAATGGTCATTCCCGTGAGGAATGACTATTTATTACGGCTATTCCATCGCTGTTCCATAAGATGGAACTGTGTTCCATATGGAACACCCAATGGAATGGATGGTTCCATAAGATGGAACACCCGTTTCATGAGCGTTTCAACCAAGGAGCGACCATTCTTCATCCAAAGAACGATCATTCCCTATAAAAGAACAAACATGTGCAGTTTGTGAAAAAAAGTTGTGAGATACGTTTATTAGGTTATTTTTATTCATATCTTTTTTGTACTAATCAAGAACAAATTAAATTAATTTTATAGTGTTGATAACAGGAATTGCCTTCCTAAAACAATCAGAATTTTCTTATAAATATATACACACAAAATAATGGATAAAGATGAATGATATGAAATAAAACAAATCAAATTGTTATTCCAAAATTGGTATAAAAATTTATTATGATATCCTGAAGGATGTGGCTGACAGATGAGGTATTAAATTGCATAAAAGTAAAGCTCAGCTGATATCGACCTCACTTGATCAGATGGTGGGCACTATTCTCTAATGCCAATCACCTCTATAAATAATGCATATTTTGCAGGTTATCTCTAAACTTGTACCCATATCTACTTGAAAGAAGAGTCAGGAGAAGCCAAACATGTCTAAACTAACCACCCTTTTCACAGTAGCCCTTCTCTTCACCTTTATGTTATCTTATTCTGCCACCGCTCGTCCAAACCCAACTCTCATCGCTCACTCTCTTACAAAAACTCAACTTGAGGTACGTTCCTCCAATTCATTGATCATAATTTTACTTATCAACTTGATTACATATAAATACATGCATGTGATTTACATATACAGTCTTGATTTGTTATATGTGTAGGAGGTAGAGGCTGCAGGAAACGTCGTGGATGCAGAAGAGAGCTGTGAAGGAGTTGGGAATGAAGAATGCTTGAGGAGAAGGACCCTTGGAGCTCATCTTGATTATATTTATACACAGAATCACAATAACCCATGAACTCTCGTTCACCAAAATATATGTAATAATTGTATTCAATTACCATCAGTTGGTTAGTGATAATAACATATAAAGATATATGTTTTTCTCTTTGTTTTGATATATTATATATTTTATACGCATGTTCCAGGACTTCATATGGGATCTTGCTGTCTTGTTTAAGATCATTTAGCAGTTCTTTTTTTTTTTTTTTTTTTTTTTTTGTTTTAATATCCAGTCATAAAACTGGACCGTTTTGAAGCTGACTGAAAATCTCAGTATTTTCATCAAATTTCTGATCTATGGATTCTGTTTCTTTAACATAAGAATTATAAGTATTTCAATTCCTACTTGAGAGTTCAGACATAAGATCGAGGGCAAAAGAACAATTCGCTCTCATTCTTCGTAATAGTGATTCTTCATCAAACGGGGAAAAATCTGAAATGGAATGAAAATCAAATATATGAATTAATTATTCATTCTTGAAAATATATAAAAGATTAAATTTCCTGACATGTAAATTCCCAGTTATAAATTTTAAATTTATCTTTAGTTTTGTCACATGATTCGCATAATTGATCTTGACTTTAGAAGCTGCATAGAAAAAGTTTGAAGAAACAGAGAGTGCGTTTGATTGAGAAGAGATAGCAAAACACGTACGTCTGCCGACTGCCAATTAGAAATGAATTTAGTGGGGAAAGTGAGGGAGGAAAAAAAGGTATAATTTTGTCAACCCAAGTCAATCTTGATAAAATAAATGTCCATATTTCCATGCAGTTCAGCCAAATCATATCTTTAATCATGTGAGTTATCTCTTTGTTGTGTAGGGAGGGGCAGACAAAAATGTCAAACACGGCTGTGACTCTGAGATTTGTCATCAAATACAGGTGTTGGTGTAAGGGAAATTTGAAGTCATTCTCAAGAGTAAATCGTAACTAATACCATCGCTTCTTGTCTCATGTCATGGCTACGCTTACTTGAATTGCAAAATCACGAATGCAAAATTAACACAGAGTTTGACCTATGGATGGTGAGTGATTATATATGTTCCCCGTTAATTTCTACCCCTCGGCTCAGGTCAACAATGGTCTTGTCAAATTCCATCTCTATCAAATAATTTATTTAAGTCTTGTAGCTGCATTTCTATCTGAGCACAGAGTGCAAGCCTTATCTCAAAACAATCAGTCAACCCGTAGTGAGCTAAAGCTAATTCAAAGTAGCATGGAGTCAAAACGTAAATCTATTATATATGTTTGTAGCAGTAAATTTATTATATATGTTTGTAGCATATATAATCTCTATACCATAATCAATTTTCATAATCATCCACATGTAATTTTTAAGGCTTTCTTAACACTTTGCACGAGTAAGTTGTTGATGTCAAAATCATGTACCAACACTACTCAAGACTCCACAATCGCTGCACAAATCATACTCTCCTCTTAATGCTGAAAAAAATAGGAATTTGTTGTGTGAAATCATTTGTGGATTTGAATACTATCATTCTTGCTTGACCAAAGATGATTGTAACATACCAAAAGCTTTTCTTATAAGATACCATAACGATTGCAAATCCTATGCATGTACCAGAGGATGACCTCAGGTTGTTAACTGCCACAACCAACACTACGAACTAAGTAAAAAGAAGGATCAGAAACTTTTGAGATTTAGAGTAATTTGAGAGACAATCAAATTGTCCCTCAAAAGACGAAGTGAGAGGAACCAAAGAAATTCAATAACTTTGCTAAGACAACTTCCTCAGAATCACAAAGAAAAAAAAAAATATGCAGTCACAATTGGCAGTTCTTGTTACGAGTTATAAGAAGTTCCGGAAGATATCATGGACAAAAGTGGCCTCCACTATTAGAAGTGGATCGTTCATTCTGCTACCACCAATGCTGCAGAATCAACCACCACCCTTGGTTTCTATAGATGTCATCAGCATTAGTGTGAAAAATCTGTATCTCATACTGCAAGAAATTCATTTGCACCAGACAAACATCCAAAGCATGCGTCACTCCACATTATTTCTTCTTTTGTCACTTTAAAAAAAAAAAAAAAAAAAAAACCACAACTGGGTATCTATGCTTCCAAATTTAAAAAAGAATAACAGTAGTTTTAGTGGAAGGTATTGAAAGTGAAGCAACACTTGTTATCCGAATTCTGAATTTTCAGCAGAGACAGATAAAAGGCCATCAAACCAAAGCATTCTCAATAATTCTCAATACTAATGGTGAATCCTCAAACTAAAAGTTCAAATAACATCAATAAATTTCGTTTAGTACTTAGTACTACCATATAATTTCTCTCACAAACATCGAGGCACAGCTTTCTGGACTAGTTTATACGCTTTATGAGCCCTGTCTAGGGAGAAGGGCTAGTTAAGTGAGGAAAACGAGTTGAAGGACATGCAGCATGATCTAAAGATTAATAATGTAGGGGAATGCAGATAGTATCCATAGAGCTCAATAATTCTGAAGAGTTCGTAGTGACAGTGTATTTATGAAAGAAAGCTAACAGAATAATGATATTCAGTAACAGTAGTCCATTCATTTAAACCATATGGAGATGACTGACTATTTGAAAAACACATTCAGAAAGGTCTCCCAATCCACATAGTTTCCTTTTTTCTTCTCTTGTAATATAAACAGACTTATAATGACATAGTTTCCGTATCAGAGGTGCAATTAAGGGCAAATAAGCATGTTTAAAGCGGATGAAATTATATAAAGTAACGAGTTTCTGACTTAGAAAGATTTGAGGGAGCAATTCACTAGATTTTAATCATATCTCATGGAAAAAACAAATGGGTGATCATTGTACATAAGTTTTACATCAGAAGTCCAAAAAGAACTATAAACTCTAAATTAATGGAGACTAAAAATGAAACACCCCTTTGAACCCCACAAATCCCTTGAAAGTAAGGATGAAAATTTAGGGATCAAAATTACAGGGCAACCCAGTGAAAACTAACTACATTACAAATGAAAGCACATGGGTAGAGGTGCACTCTTCCCTGCATTTTCATATCCAACCTCCACTGCACTCATCACAAAGACATACTTTACACTGTGTTCCTGTTGATTGAAACAGCTGTGCAAAAATGGTGAGATTGAATCACAACCTCACTAAGGGATTATTGGCAAATGTTGGCAAAAATGCCAGCTTATAGACAGTGGATTAAGAGTTTCGCAATATGCAATTAGCTTAGAAGTAATCCACTTTATGATGCTTCTTCATGTAAACTCAACAGTAAAATTGAACTTCTTTAGTATACACAAGATAGAAAAGGGTACCTTAAGAACCCCAGTGAGCTCAGTTTTGAACTCTGTTCAATCCCAGAAGCACCTTCGTCCATTGGGAATGAAGTACATTAAAAAGGAAGCGCCACATAAATCAACATTTTGCCATTTTCTTCACTGTATGGTTTTCGTAAGCTTACACTTAGAAAGGAATATAGTAGCTGAGTAATTTAGACTACACAACTTCAAGAGCTCAGCCGACCGCTGCTTCAATACAGGACTGCAACCACTCTGTATTACTAGAAGTAGCTTTGCAGCCAAACCTGCATCCACGGCAAGTGAAGCACATTCATTCGGTGCAAGCTTGCAAACTGTCCATAAAATTGACAAAGCAAACTGGGTACAACTCTCTGATACTCTCATCAACAGTTTGACCACATTCGGTATTGTATTAGGACAATCTTTCAAAGCCAATCTTCCCTCAGGAACTGTTGATAAAATCTCTAATACATAAAGAGCAAACTCCAGACACTCATTACTCAAACTGGGCAATATATCTACCAACTGAGGAACTGCTCCAATGCTGACAAGCGAGTTCCTAACTGACTCGTGTGAACAAATTGTCTTGAGCAAGCCAAGTCCCGCCAGAACCCCATTTTGGTGCCTCTTATCCTTCACTAATCTTAACAAACCAACCAAAAGACTCAAGCTAGACACTTTTTCAGAACCGAAATCATTAGCTTCTATTAAAACTTCAATCAACCTAGTGCAATTGACCTTTGTTTCAATTGTTCCCTCGTTTAACATATCCACCATTAACGATATCTTTGCTGGCTGCATCAAATTCTTCTTTGATGCCATATCAAGATCCAAGTTGACCAGAATCCCAATTACTTCTGACCCAACAGCATGACTAGTGAAAGGACCCAACAAAAGAGAAATCAAACCAACGCCATTATTAACTACAACTGCCTTTTTCGCTGTAGAATGAGCAGTCACAAGCTGCCTAAGCTCTTTAAGAGCCTGAACTCTAGCTTGACCTTTAACCTTCTTTAAAGTCTCCAAAATCTCAACAGTCCGTCCTTGAACATCCTCCGACTTCTTCTTCATGGCAACATATTTACGGGAGAACCAGGCGTAAATAAGCTGCTGAAGAGTCTTATTAGGAGTGACTGAATCGTCCCAGAGTTCTTGCATTGTAGTAGGGCAAGTGTAATGACCCAGAGAAAACCACTTCAAAATGTTGGATCTTTCATAAGTCTGGCCGGTACAGAGAGTCACAGGTTCGAGCATCGGGTCTAATGAAATTGGACAGATAAACACAGATGGCACATCAATTGATTCCAACTCTTGTATCATTTTCTTCAGATCTAGTTTGTCGGCAACACCAGTATAAACTGGACCACAAGCATCACCACCTAAAATGCCATCTTTGACGGCTGTTTCTAGATCTAGAACTTGCCCACCACCACTAACGTCTAGCTTAGTTGGGTGATACATGAGCAGCTTTAGATACCCTACCAGAGTAGAAGAGGAAAGAGAGTTTTGTTTAACGAAGAGTAGTTAATAGATTTCAAAGCAAGCAAGAGACACCTACTACTACACTACACAACATAAGAAGTCTGTTGGAGGAAAGGAAAGTAAGGAATAAAAAAGGGGATAGGAAGGGTTTCTTTCTCTTTCATTGACAATAGGAAACAACAATGCTTATCAAAGGGGACATCTTTTCTCCATTCATTACTTTTTGGCTCTTTACCTGATCTCTTTCTCTGGTCAAAAGAGTAACGTTTATCATCATCATCTATAATAACAAAGACATGATGGAGTTGTAATCTCCTCTAATACCAAAGCCATACTTGATTCACTTCCCCTACAAGCTCAAAAAAGGATGAAATCATCAACCCCGGATCAGGCAATAAAGGTAAGAGAACAACCAAAAGTAAAAGATAAAATCCCACTCACACATCAACAGGAACAAGTAGCAATAACCCACCACCACAAATCAGATTACCAAATAAAACAAAGATAACAAATTTAAATTACGAAAAAATAAAAGACATAAAAAAAAGGGAACACTGAGAATCATACCTTGTTATAGTAGACAGAGAGAGAACGGCAGAAGTAAAGAAGAAAAGCTATGAGCTCTCTATCTTCTGCACAGTCTCCTCTACTGATCTTCTTAGGGGAAAGAAATTTATTTTTTTTTCTTTTTTAATCGTTTAAAGTTTTAATTTTTTTTTTCGGGAAAAACGATATTACCAGGAGTGACTGGCTATAGCCAGTAATTCAAATCTAGACAACTGTGCACCACACGTGCAGTGTTATCTTTAGTTACCGTTATATCCGGTTTTTTAAGTTATTAAGGACTTAATTTTTTAATTTTTTTGGTTGGTTTAATAAAAAGTAGGGGTGTTTTCAGTTCACTTTTCTAGGAGTTGAGGCCCCCTTGAGACTCAAAGAGGCAACCTCTGCCAGTAGTCAAATGACGTTCGATACTTCGATGTTGGCATGGGAATAATTACAGGTCACAATCCTTAAACGACGTCGTCATGTTATTTATGCTAAATGGGTATGAATTGGAATTCTGTCGACAGACGTCATGTGAAAGACTGTTGTAGTCTTGTAGATAAGAGTTGTTAAAAGACTCACTCCCAGTCCCATTTCTTTAGAGTGGACCATTCGATGAGAATATAAAATTTGTGTAGAACATATGATGAATATTCCTGATCATGAATAATGTCTAATATATAAGCTATCATTTTAATTTAAAGTCACAACTCACAAGAAAAGTAAGGAATAATTGGTATGTGAAATATTAACCATATATATATTTTATGATTAGAGATGTTCGGACCAGTTTATGCATACCTCAACTAATTTTTAAAATCTTAAAGTTGATAATTGAATAAACCTCCAATAACCATCTCTATTAGTAACCGAGGTAAATTAGGTAAATTGAACTCAGTACTTTTTTTTTTGATAATACTCTAAAAACTCTATTTCTATTCAACCAATGCACCGTCCATGATGGTTAATAATATCTTATTTTTGTGCATAAATATTGATGTTTTTTTTCCAATTTGTCCAGGTTTAACATAACAGAAAGTCAAGGTCATTTGCTGCGCAACAAGTACGCCCTCTTACAAAATTTCTGGTTGCGAATCTCACCATCTAACATATTCCCATGCACTGTATAAAGAGACCATATCAAAGTAGGCGTCAATACGTCGTCACTCATCCTTTTGTGGTTTTTTATATTCAGAAAGAATCGGTACACTGCATATTGTCTGCTGTATAGTATGCAATGTTATATGTAAAGTATAAGGAGCTTCATTAAATTTCTCTTCTTTGTTGTTTGAAACGTCTACCCACGCCACCTGGATCTTATCCAAGAAACTTAAGCATTAGACAATGGAACAGGCAAACTTAATTACTCCTTCTCCAGCAAAAATACTTCATTAATGGAGAAGTTTTCTGTTCCCTTGAAAAAAAAAAAAAGGAGCTTCCAACACAATTGAAATCAATATATGTACACCAATTACTTATTTATAATCTACTAAAACCCAACACAAACGCAAGAAGTTCACAGGAGCTTGAGTGAATACTTCCATGAGCAATATATATGACTTCCTGTTTCCCGGCTCCAATGCAGTACACGCTGGCCTGGTTGGACCAACAATCAAAAGCTTCCTCCTGACGTGGACCTAACATAAGCTACATCTTTTCTGAAAATCATAGTTGAATAATTTTGTGTTAAAGCTGATTCTTTTCTTTGCTTTCTACAGAAATTGTATATAATTAAGACTGGAAGGCTCGTGTGGTGGCTCCACTCAGAACGTGGCTTTCATAAAGTGCCAGCTAAGCATTGACCAGTCGCGGTTTTGACCACTTTGATCCATTCCATTCCATGTCCCCTCGTGCACTTTTGTTTGCTTTTTTGACAGCAAGGCACTGACACGTGGTGGTAGGAACAGTGAGGCGCTGCCACTTTTGCTGCAGTTTATTAATCTAAACCATTTATTTAATCACTTGGTCTGATTTCGATTTTGTTAAGTAGAAACAGCAGATAGAGATGCCCTCATTTGATTGATAATTTCAATGTTTTAGCATATAAAAGCATATTCCCAATTCAAGTCACACGCACTCCCATAATCCATGTTCTCTTGCTTCAATTCCCCTTTAAACTATTCAAATAAAATCTCTATGATCTATGGTATTAACAGAAAATAAAATCATACTATTATGTAGTAATAAGTGTAAATGATAAGAACCACAGACACATGAATTGTAATAACCATACTTTGCTTTCACAGTTCCACACTATGCCACCAAGGAGCTGAATTGAAGGTGCAACAAAGTGTTTGAAAATTTTCTAAAATGCTTTACTTATCACGTTATTATTGATAATGACAAGGCAGCTGCGCGTAAAATTTTATAAGAAATTGAGATAGAAAATGTTTGAAGAAATGGAAAGACAATGTCATTGATCAAGGGCAGTTTACAAAACACGACTGCCAATCAGAATTCCACCGCTGCTAGGCAAAAATCATATCTGACTCACGGCTGAGGAATTGTTTTTCCAATGTGATGGCAACAATGTCAAACACGCCAATGTGTTTATTTCTTTGCGGCAAGCACGGATGTGAAATTTAAAATGAAATACAGGGGTTAGTGTTACAGGAAGGCTTCTGAAAGGAGCACAAATCTTTCTCAAAGGAATATTATAAACTAATAATTGCAAGATCATCAATGCATATTTGACAAGCTGTTTCACATATGAATGGTGAGTTGTTTGTGAATGATTACACAGACGTTCCTGGTTAAATTCTACAGAAAGGATCAGGTCAAAAATTTAATCAGCAACTCCATCTTATCAAACCAATGTAGCTACAGATCTACTGGTGCTTTTAATCTTTTAATCTTCAGGATCTGGAAGTTTAAGTAATATGTGAAGTTTTAATTTCCAATTAAACAAAACAAATCCTATAACTTCAACTCCAATGTGAGCTGCAGTAATTCAAGAAGTGGGAATGGCAAATAAACTTTCACACTCAGACTCCACAAATGACTGCAGATACTAAACTCTACCTTTTTATCATTATTGGATTTGAATAATTCTATTCTTGAGCAAATATGATAACAAGATACCAAAATCTTTTCTTAAAAGATACCACAACGATTGCAAATCCTATGCATGTGCTTGAGGAGGACATGAGGTTGTTTCTTTCACTAGAAAACCAATTAACTCAATAAATAAAATAAAAAAGTGTAGAAATATTAGTGAGATCAATTATAGAAACACTTCTTAGATAAGAAATAATAATAGAGGCATTCACAAATTAGTGCCCATCACAAAGAAATAGAACAAAAAGTGAAAGAGAAAACTTGTATAGAATGAATTGCCTAAACGTTCAAGCAAAAACAGATACATCAGCTGACTTAGAGAAACAAAATTAAATTAGAAACATTGCCAGAATCACCCAAAAGTTAGTAGTACTTGTATTTGAAAGTGCTTGTTACAACAAAGATCCGGTAAGACAGGATGTGCCTCGATTAGAAGCTTTTGCAAAAGTGGCCACTATCTCATAGCAACCTGCTCCACTTCAAAAATCATGAACAAATAAGCACTAAATCGTATACAAGAAGTGGATCATTCAGATATCACATTGCCATTCCCACCTTTGCTGCACAATCAATAACCACCTTCGGTTCTATAGATGTCATCAGCATCATGTTTTAAAATGATTGTTGTTGATATCCGTATCTCATACTGAAACACCATTTTAGCAGTTAGCTTCTCCAATCACTATTTAGGGAGAAGGGCTAGTGGAAGTGAGGAAAACAAAAATAACTATAAAAAGTATAGCATGCTCGAGCAGCTCAACAGGGGGACCACAATCCACAAACCAGGCATCTCAAAATATTATAGGAAAGCAGCAAACATCAGAATGAATAAGTCAGTGTAAAGAGTCTACTTGCACAAGCCAAACCAATCTAATCAGTCTGTAGTAATAAATGATTACTGAAGGTATTAATCATTACTAATGAAGTTACTGACTATAAATCACAAATTTATGGAAGAAACACATCATGAGTACCAGAGTAGATTAACCGCTGAGCAAATATACTGCCAATTGAAAACAGTTATCCGAATATCCGAATATGAATCGCTAGAGAACCTATGATTCATAATTCCAGTAGCAAGCACAAATTTAAAAATTCTGCCAAAGACTGCACAAACATAAATAACCGTGACCGCACACAATTATCAATAATGTATTCTCAAATGAAGCAAGATCAATAAAACTGCCACTTAAAAAATAGCACCTACAATAAAAGCAGTAGCTGCAGTAATACAACAGTGATATTAGAAAAAAATTTAAACTAAACTTTTACATTTACAATTGGCTGCTCTCACTTCTCAAGCTTTCAGGAAGTTGTTTTCTTCTTGTAAAATATGATCAGTCATCTGAGCAAAAATTCGCAGCAAGTGCCATTTCTTTTTTCACTTTATCACATAAAAGAAAAGAAAAAAAATCTAATTTGATAGTATCTGTTCATTGTGATCAACAAATTGATACAAACCAGTGACATCACCAACTAAAATCAAATTTATACATCTGTTTATTGTTTTCATTATCACTAAGAATATTGAGTATGATTTTCTTAAACACATCTTAACTATCCTGTCAAATTTTGAATTTTTCCTTCTATATAAAGGAAAAGGAAATTCTACAAATAAAAAAGCTACCAACTCATACAAATAAAATTAGGAGAAAGCTAATTAATTCCTGGAGTATCAACCATGAAAATGAAGCACCACGGCATCTTTGTACATTCCCCATTAAGAGAGGAGAAATTCAGACCTTTCCCACGGAAGCTACAAAAGTAAGTGTTCTTCATATCTCCTTGATGTAAATTGCTTTGTGAAAAAGATAATTTAAGCAGGCATGAGAACCCTAGTGCCACCCAGGACATGTAAATATAAAGCAAGACATACGGTCACAATGACAGAAGATTTTGCACCAACATATCTGATAACTTCCAATCCCCTATCTACAACCTCCTCTTTTACTAAATGAAGACTTCTTTTCAAACCATCTGATAGCTTCCACAATAAGAACTCCACAATAGATCTTATAGCCTCAAATGTCACTCTCCCAGTCACATCAAGCACAAACTTCCTATTGCTGGGCACAGCTAAAGTAGATGACACCTTGTCAACCCATCCATTACTTTGAATCCCATCAAATGAGCTTCTCCCTTTCATTTGTTTCAAAGGTGCTTCTTGCTCCAAAGATTTGTCCTTAATTTCACTAGGACTGTCCGTTTGATCAATAATGGAACATGTAGAACTAGAACCTGAGTTCAAATTTCCTTTCGAACTTGTCAAAACCTGGTGAGATGTTTTCACAAGTGTTTCCACAGCACCGTTACAAACAGAAACCAAAATGTCCCTCACATTGTTCTGATGCTTGGGATTGGTCAACCCAGTGAAAATCTCATCATAAGTATTGATATCCATTGTCTTGTCAAGATAAACAGCAACAGCTGTGCTCACAAACTTCTGTATGCAATCAGCTATAAGTTCTTTAGACTTTTCATTGCAAACCGCATTTACCCATCCTGGCACATCTGATGAACCCTCTCCACAGGGAATGGCACCAGCTCCATCATTTAAGCTCAATCCATTAGTCGATTCACCAGGTGAGTAAAACCCTAAAACCAAGTTCCTCGCAAAACTACCAACCACCACCGAAACAAAGCCAGTGCCAGCGGTAGAGAAAATCTTGTCCATCACCCCATCACTAAAACTTGAACTTACCGACGCAGTCCTTGATTCATTATCAGTTGATGTTATCTTATACCCTCGCAAAATCCCCACAGTCAAGGCCTGAGAAACCCTAATTACAGACTGGGAAAACTCCTCAGATCTTGCAATCTTAGCAAATTGCTTTAAACTATTTGGAATTTGGTCAGAATCAGATTGCAAGAACTCCTTTAAATCTTTAGAGACAACACTCATCATCTCCGCAGAATCAGCGGCCAAGTCAACCATAGAAACAAAGGCTCCGAAGAGTTTGATCAATCTCTTCCTTTTCTTCACCACAGAAGGCCAATTATAAACCTTGTAAGCCCCATAACTGGAGACACCAAATAGAGCTAACAAAATAAGCCATTTCTTTTTCCTCTGGGAGAAAGTCAACGTCGTTTTCACCAATTGAAGATACATTGAACCCCTAGAGCCACAAGAATTGAAACCCCAGGGAGTTGAAACGAAAAATTAAGAAAATATATGGAAGAAGTAGGTACAGGCATGACAGAGATGATTTACAGGATCGAGCAATCTAGGGCATATTTTTTCTTATAATTTCGCTATATTTGTCAGAGTGATTGAAATTGATGAATGGATAAGTCTGTTAATGCAAGATAGATGGATGGATAATAGTAGTTACAATTTTAGAAAGGTGAAATTTTATATAAGAATTGTGGAGAAACAAGTAAAAGAAGGGCAGAGATGATGGTAAAGAGACGAACCTGAAGTCCTCAACCTGTTTGTTTCTGTTGCAGAAGAGAAGAGAGAGAATTGTTAAGTTGGCGAGATTCTGTTACATTTACGGCCATAGACCCCAAATAACGACTGATGATTGGCAGAGAAGCCTGGACCTTTGGAATTTTGGAGGCCCGATTTTTTTAAAAAAAAGAGGATATTTGCTAAACGGCCCGCTGTTTTATTCCAACTTTCAAATTACTGTACTGTGAAAGCGTTGGTTAGTCGCTTAAGCCTTGAATTCTGTATTGAGAGAGAGCTTATCTTTAGCTTAATTGGATTTAGAGGGCTCACACTATTATACTGCGGTAACCTTATAGTTAATTGGAGAAATAATCACCTTAGAATGGTGATCTAAAATATATAATCCTTTAAACTATGATTTAAATTTTAAAGAGTTAACAACTTTTTCCCATCCAAATAATAGTTCAATGACACTTTTCTATCTACAGATTTTTAAAATATTATTTTACTGTTCAAATTTATATTCAAACGATGAACTAAAAGCAAACTCAGTCCAGACTGTTGAAGTTTTTTAAGAGAGGAGACGATGACTCTTTTGGTGGTGGAATGTTGAATTTTGGTAATTGGGATTTATTGGAATTTGACTTGAGAGGGGCGGTTATGCAAACTCTAATCGCTCGATTAGCGAGGTTGGCAAGAATAGGGTTCAAGGGGTTTTGGTGAGCGATGATCGGGAAAGATAATAGTGGTGGTTTGGAGTCGCAACGATATTGGAATCGAAAACGGAATATAAATTTAGATAATAAACGATATTTTAAAAGTTTATGGATAAAATAGTGTCATTAAGCTATTATTTGGATAGAAAAAAGTAGTTTGCTCATGATTTGAAGGATAAACTTAAGATTAAGTTTGATTATTTTCGTGTGGAATTGCTTAAGTAATGTTAATAGCTGTATTTTATTTTTAAATAATAAAAAAGTATTAAATGAACTGAGAGGACCGAGTTTTCTATTTGCTTTTACCTTCATCACATCACTGCCTAAAAGCCGTCTTCTACAAATAAGGCTATACAAAATCTAAAACACGTAAATGATCAAACAACATAGGCTCTCAGAGAAAATTGCATTCATTGTTTCTATAACTCTATAGTCATTTAAACTTCTTCAAGATGTGGCTCAAGCAATGGGAAATAATCGAACAATTTCTCACATAATACATTTTTTTTTTCTTGCCCCTCCACGAACCACTAGAAATGTTTAAAGTACAATCCTCGCACAATCAACACACTATCACTCTATTAACACTTGATTTGATCATCCATCATGTACAAAGAGCTCACAAGGGCACTAAAAATATGCAACCAAAGCGCTGAATGTTGCGCAAGTTGCCTAATACCAGTCCATTTTCACCTCAATCAGCAGAGCTTACGCTCAGTCATGGGTATTGCATTCTTAAAGTTCCAAAGCGCTTTAAACAATCTTTGGTTTTATCGGCACACACCCATCATCCTCAAGATCACTGAATGAAATGTCATCTTCATTCCCCACACAAATTGCAGTATCATTGTATCCACCTAAATCTGAATCCTCCTCTGGCCAGTCATCCTCATCATCTTCATAATTAGGAATCTGAATTTTAGAGGATGGACCAACTGTTAAATTCTTATCCATGGCCACTGGCTTTTCTGCTATGACTGATTTATCAACAAAATGAATCTCAGTGCTGTCTATTGGGTGCTTCTCAGTCTCATAATCTTTAATCATTGTGGAAGTGCTTAGTTCAGAAGCATATGTCCGTAGTGACAAGACATCGGAAGGTGCATAGTTAGATGAAGTAGGAACAAGGTGTTCCTGCAGTACATTTGTGCTGTCTTTCATATAGGAAGTACTTCTTCCAAACCAGTCGGTTTCTGGCTTTGTTTGCTTTTGTAGCTCCTGCATCCACATTGTTCTGGCTTCCACGACCTGCAAACAGTAGATTTAAGAATAGTAATACCTAATCAACCTTTGTTTTTGCCCATAGTTGAAAACAATTTCAATTTTTTATTTTTTATTTTGGATGCATACAGTCTATCATGCCAATATAAAAGCAGCTTTGGACTAGTAAAAACTTTCAACTTGCCTGCAGAGTAGACAAAACCTCTGCATCATGTTTGTTGAGCCTCGAATGCAGCAGGACAAAATAAACTTTCCAAAAGTAATTCTCACTCATATGACAAGGGCAAAGTTCAATTCTCAAAGCCGCTAATCTAGGAGCAAGATGTTGAATAACAAAAACATGCTCCTTTTGGGCATCAGACATGTCAAAATCTGAAAAAAATAAATAAAACAAAGGCACATGTTATATTAAGCATTGTAAGAAAGTAGAAACTTGATAAAAGAAATTGAATAAATTGGAATTGCCAACACTTGAAAGACTGAAAAAAAGATGTTCACTCTCGAAACTTAACAGAAACAGAAAGTAGAAGATGGTACACTGATGCATATGTTATTGCTAGGAGTCAACAGTATCATTTTATAAATTCAAGTCTTCTAGGAACAGCGCTTAAAGGTTTCTTAGATTGAGGCCATAGATGGATGTAGAGGTTGTAGATGTTACAATGTCAAGCATCCTATTGCATTTGGGTGTTGAAAAATTAATAGTTGAACAATATGAAATCATAAATACAATCACAAAAGACAGAGATATCTGCATTCTTTGCACATAGAAAGCTATGACCTACTGGAAATTATCGATGGACACACGAGAAAAAGACACCTATGTCCACCTGCACAATCTCCCTTCATATAGCTATGAAGCTGCTCTGCACTTTTGACAAGAAACTTAAACAGATAAACTATTTCATAAATGTTTCACCATCGACAGGTCCTCTACAAGAAAACAACCATTTAAAAATGGTTATATAAATGCCCTTAACAACATAATCCACAGATTTCTTTTATAGAATTAGCCCAATCATATTCACAGATAGATACATACATATACTTATCTTCACATCTTATACGCTTGGCAGCCATCTATTATACCCAGGACAATGTCCAAAAATAATGAAAGAATAAATGCCATAAGATCATGACATGAAAGTGAACAATCATATGATTGTGCATGTCTAATAATATACGTCAATGACAAAAAAATGTTGGCAACTTAATGATGACACATGGTAGGTGGCAGCCACAATGCAGAACTCAACCGGCTATCATGGTGAGTAAACAATCGCAACACTAACCATAAGAAGCTCAAAACACATAACGAGGAAGAAGAAACTAGAACTGATCACATTCCTAGATCAGTTGTAGGACAGAAAGCATATAATCAGGGCCACTAGGTAAGACTATCAATAAATAAGATTTTAAAATATTAAACGACAATTTGAGCTATTGGAACTTTAACTCACAAGATACAATTGATATTGTAAAGCATTTGCTAGATAGCAACAAAATAGAGAAGCAAACAACCTACGAAATTGCATAGATATGTTATCAAATAACTATAATAAAAGCAAATAACTGTAAAATTGATTTACAACAGAATGCAAACGACATATCGGCAGACTCATAGCAATATCATGAAATAACACATTAAGAATTAGCCTAAAAGCAATTGATAAAAAAAACACAAGTGGTGATTTAGAACATACCATCCAGGTCTTCCTCCTCATCTAAAGGATAATCCAACCAAGTTTCTGGATGATGGGCAATATTCCTCGCAAAAGCCAACACTTCATCCGTAATCCCAACCGCACTCAATTCTTCTTCTTCCCCTTCCTCTTCCTGCTCCTCCACATTGTCCTCCCTAATTTGCTCCTCATTGTCCTCCCTAATTTGCTCCTCATTGTCCTCCGATCCAAAGGGAAAATAATTCGAAGCCATCTTCGATATCTCCGACACGCCGCTTCTAAACCTATCGCTGATCCCTGAATTTTCCGGATCTTCCTTGTCGGATAGATCCGACAGCTCTGATTCGTTCAAATTACGGTTGGAATCTACCGGATGATCTTGTGTTGATGGAGGTGGAGCGAGAAATGAGGCGACCCCCCAGAATTGGCGAGTTAGGGTTTGTTTGAATTCCGTCAAGTCTTCTTTAACTCCACGCGATTGTGCCTCATCTTCTTCCAACTCTGATAATGATTGAGATTGAGTTTCAGTTTGTTCATCTTTCGCTGCAATTTGATCATGATTGGTGGGTGACGGGTCCAGGTTGGCTCGGTGTGGTATGCCGTCGTTTTCTTCGTCATCGAGACGGAGAGAATTTGCGAGAGACCGAGCTAGCCATGACATTTTTTTTTTCTCTCTTTTGGATTCTTGAGGGGCTAGAAAGTTGTTGATGAAAAGCTTCGGTTTTAAAATGGTTGCCGCTGTTGGGTGATGAAATCATGTAGTTTTCGACCACCGTGATCATTCAAATTATGACCCTATTGGATAGTGACACGTAAGCAGATTTTGAATCAAAATGTTTGAAACTTTAGTTTATTGCAGATCTGGACCGTCTGATATTTATACGAATAAGATGGACATGTACATAAGTATTAATAATTAAATAAAGAAATATATTTATTATTGTAATTACTATTATTATACACCAAGGAAGAAAGCATTGTTAATGTAGCCGTTAAGTAATGGATATACACACTCATTGTTAGAGCTACGCCAGTGCAGTGCAGTGCAGTGCCGCAGCCTGCTCGCCCTTCGAGGAAGACAAAATTTCAAACTTCTTTTTCTCTACTCAAGAATGTGTTTTACATTCATGTATGTTTCTCTTAAGTGGCTAGGGCAAGCACTTGTGCGCATATTCGTGCCAACAAAAGTGAAGTTTAAGGGCCCTTAAAGTGGCAGACTGTGGTTTTGTCCACATCTGTATTTATTAAAGTATGTTTTAAGATTCGGATTAAAAGCAAGTGATTTTAATTTTTACGCTTTTAAGGATACTCAGGACAGTTGGAGACTTAGAGAGTTGATCAATGTTGACATGTTACTGTTGCTCTTTGGTATTGGAGCTATTACAAATGCTGAGCAATTTCGGAAATTACTACATTCAGCAGTCTCAAATCTCAATCATTTCCTTGATGTTACCAAGAGACATCACAAATGAGAGGTGAAATTAAACAGATAAAGTTCTACCGAGCACTAGTTTCAGACTTGAAAGATTTCAGTCAGCAGATCACTAGATGTTGTTATTTGTTAACATATCTAGTCAAAATACAGAAGGGTGTTCCTTTCCTTGTACAAAAGTTTACATCCAAAATCCAAAAGATCTACAAACTATACACTAGTCGAGACTCAAAAACACCCCTCTGTGAACACCACAATTCCCTTTGAAAAACAAGTGATGAAAATTTAAGGATCAATATTACAGAGCAATTACAAATGAAAACATGTGCACAGAGGATTACTCTTCCCTGCATTTACAAGCCCAACCTCTATTCCACTCAATGGAGACATACTTACACCATTCTGTTTAGGGATTATTGGAAAACTTGGGTAAAAATGTCAGGTTGTTAAGTTACCACTTGACCTAAATCTTAACCTAGATATTTTGTTATAGACAGCGGATTAATGAATTGCAACTAACATGCAATTAGCTAATGAGAAATCCACATTATGATGCTTCTCCATGTGATATCAACTGTAAAAACTGAACATCTTGGTATACAAAGGAGCATAAGAGTACCTCAAGAACCCCAGCGAGATCAGTTTCCAACCCTGTTCAATCCCAGAACCACCTTCCTCCATTAAGTACAGCCCTGTTCAATCCCAGAACCACCTTCGTCCGTTAAGTACAGAAAAAAGCGATGTGTATGTTAAGATTCTGCCAATTTCCTTCACTGTATGGTTCTCGTAAGCTTACACTTTGAAAGGAATATAGAAGCCGAGTAATTTAGACTACACAATTTCAAAAGCTCAGCTGACTGCTGCTTCAATACAGGACTGCAACCACTCTGTATTACCAGAAGTAGCTTGGCTGCCAAACCTGCATCCACAGCAAGTGGAGCACATTCATCTGGTGCAAGCTTGCAAACTGCCCATAATATCGACAAGGCAAACTGAGTACAACTCTCGGAAACCCTCATCAACAACTTCACAACATTTGGTATTGTATGAGGACAATTTTTCAAAGCCAATCTTCCCTCATGAACTGTTGACACAACCTCCAGTACATGAAGTGCTAACTCCAGACAATCATTACTCAAACTAGGCAATATCTCCACTAATTGAGGAACTGCTCCAATGCTGACAAGCGAGTTCCTAGCGGCCTCATGCGAACATATTGTCTTCAGCAAGCCCAGTCCGGCAAATACCCCAATTTTATGCCTCTTATCCTTCACTAATCTCAACAAACCAACCAAAAGACTCAAGCTAGATACCTTCTCAGACCCTAAATCGGCTTCCATTAGAATTTCGATTAAACTTGTGCAATTGACCTTCGTCTCAATAGTTCCTTCATTTAGCATATCCACCATTAACGAAATCTTTGCCGGCTGCATCAAATTCTTCTTTGATTCCAGATCAAGGTCCAAGTTGACCAGAATCCCAATTGCTTCTGACCCAACAGCATGAGTAGTGAAAGGACCCAACAAAAGAGAAATCAAACCAACACCATTATTACCAACGACTGCCTTTTTAGCTGTAGAATGACTACTCACAAGCTTCCTAAGCTCTTTAAGAGCTTGAACTCTAGCTTGACCTTTAACCTTCTTTAAACTCTCCAAAATCTCAATAGACCTTCCATGCACATCCTCCGATTTCTTCTTCATGGCAGCATATTTGCGGGAGAACCAGGAGTAAATGAGCTGCTGAAGAGTCTTGTTAGGAGTGACGGAATCGTCCCAGAGTTCTTGCATCGTAGTAGGGCAAGTGTAACGGCCGAGAGAGAACCATTTCAAAATGTTAGATCGCTCGTATGTCTGGCCGGTGCAGAGAGTCACCGGCTCCTGCATTGGCTCTAACGAGATTGGGCAAATAAACACGGGTGGCACATCAATTGATTCCAGCTCTTGTATCATTATCTTCAGATCCAGTTTGTCTGCAACACCAGTATAAACTGGACCACTGACGTCACCGCCTAAAATGCCATCTTTCACGGCAGTTTCTAGATCTAGAACTTGCCCACCACCACCACCACCACTCACATCAAGCTTAGTTGATTCATACATGGGCATTTTTTTAATACTGTAGCAAGGTAATACAGGAGAGAGTTTTTAATAAAGACTTCTTAAGAGATTTCGAAGGAAGCAAGAGACAACTACTGAACAAGTAGCCGTGGCCCGTGGGAAAGGAAAAGAGAGAAGAAAAGGAGATAGGAAGAGTTCTCTTTCTTTATCTTTCATTGACAATAGGAAACAATAATGCCTATCAAAGGGAACATCTTTTCTCCATTCATTGCTTTTTGGCTCTTTATATGATCTATTTCTCTGGTCAAAAGAGTAACATTATTCATCATCATCGTCAAAAAGACATGATGGAGATGTAATCTTCTCTAATACCAAAGCTATACTTGATTCTCTTCCTCTTCAAGCTCAAAAAAAGGTTGAAATCATCAACCCAGATCAAGCAATAAAGCGTAGAGAACAAAAAAGATAAATTCCACTCACACATCAACAGTAACAAGTACCCATCTGGCCATCTCCCACCACATATCAACTCACCAAATAATACTAGAATAAGAAAATTAAATTACGAAAAATAAAAGACAAGACAAGAAAGAATGGGAAGACTGAGAACCATACCTAGTTATTGACAGAAGAAGAGAGCAGTAGAAGAAAAGAAAGAAAGCTATCTACTCCTGGTCTCTTCACTCATCTTCTTTTGGGGCAAGGTTTTTTTTTTTAAGTTCTAATTTTTCTTCGAAAAATAAAAAACAATATTACTAAGAGTGACTGGCCATAGCCAGTAATTCAAATCTAGGCAATTGTGCACCACACGTGCAGTGTCGTGACTCAGTCACCGTTGTATCCGGTTTTTTACGCTATTGAAAACTTCTTTTGAGGGAAAATCTAAGAAAAAGTAGTCTCTCAAATTTCTAGGAGTTCTGGTCCCTTAGATAGAGAGATAATCTAGAGACTTAAAGACGCACCCTCAGTCAGTAGTCAAAAAGACGGAAGCGTAATTACCAGGGGAATAATTACATTGCATAGCACAATCCTTGAGAATTGAGATGGCATCCTCGCTCTTTCCTAATATCAATTGAAATTTTGTCAGATGGTCACGACAAGTCTGTAGATACATGTTTAAAGGTGTTATGCCTACAATCTGGGCTGATTTAAGCTGATGTCACCAAGTATCAGTCAAAGCTTAAAAAAACTTCACATCGATGAGGATTTGTCACATCGTCAAAGATAAAAAGATATAATTGCCAACAACCTAGTTGACTCAAGTATTTACATGCTAATGAATTTGATCTAAACTAGGGATAAGATAATTTGGTTAACCGAACTGGATTAGGTAAACCAAAAACCAAACCAGTTATTCGATTTAGCCAAAATGCAAACTAAAATCGAACTGATTTCAGTTATAAACCGATTGTAAACCGAACCAAATATTCAGTTCGGTTAACTGGTTTTCAAATTAACCCCTAAAATTCTTTAATTTTTATATTTAAGTCCCTAAATTCAAATATTTATTATTTTATATATAATTTCATGATGTTTTTCTCTTTTATTTGGGTATTATTGTTGTATTCTTTGTGTGACAAATACATTAAATTACCTATTTGTAAATACTGAATCCAGAATATGAAATAAAAACATAAAGAATTCAATTACACAGTACTCAATATCATTAATAAAAACATTGGCACAATTAAAAACTAAAAAATATTTGCAAATAAAAAGAGTCTTCTTCAAAATTCAGATCTCCAAAGTCGAAGTCCAAACTTCTTCGATCTACTATAGTGCTACTGAATAAAAAGAGTCTTCCTCAAAATTCATATCTCCATGCCTGCATCTGCATCTGCATCTACTTGTGCAATAAATAAACTTACAGTTAGCAACTCTCAAAAAATATAAATTCAATGCAAAATATGGTCTACTGAATAATATCAATGCAAAAGGTGGTCCATAAAATAATATCAATGCAAAGGGTGGTGCAAAACAGGTGGAGACGTGGAGCTTGTCTCCCTTCTTAATTCCCTTATAAGTTTTAACTACATAAAGTAGTTCAAAAAATTTAAAACAAATAAACATAACAATCATCAAGATGAGTTATACTACTTTCCGCTTTTAAACATAATCAATTATTAAAAATCAGTTCACAACAAATAAACACAACAACTGTTCAAAAAATTTAGCCAACATAACCAACCAAACCCTAAACCATTTAATAATCAATGATAGTATATCTCATATATTAGAAATTTGAAATACCCTTAAATCATCAAGATGAGTTAGACTATTTTCCACTTCCGAAGAGAAAAACCCTTAAATCATAATGATGGAAAATATATAATTATAATTGAAAGTTAACAAAAAATGTCACCTGACTCAATTTTAGATAATTCCTCCAAGCTTTCCTCAATGGTCAATGGTCCACACGTATTCCTAATCCAATCCTATGTACAGATAAGAGTCTCTACCATCTTAATAGTAAGGGAGCTATGAAATGGATCTAATACACGACCCACTGTACTAAAAGTCGACTCAGATGCAACCGTTGAAACAGGCATAGCCAACACACCTCGTGTTATCATAGAGAGTATAACATATTTTGTTGAATTAGTCTTCCACCAATTCAAGATATCAAAAATTTTGTCGTTGTCATCCTCACAATCATCCACTAAATACTTATCCAACTCCGTTTTATGCTCAACAGCTTTTTTTGCAGCCTTTTTCTCATTATACATAACCCCCATGAAGTCCTCATTATCAACATTTGCATCATGCACATCAATGTCAATTGAAACTTGAGATTTCTTACTTGACTGCTCATTGTCATCCACCATAAGCAAATTGTATTGCTCAAATAAAGACAACAAAGCTTCCTTCACTTTTCTCATCAACTTGTCAGCTACAACAACATCATAGGCCTCATTAACTACCCAGTCTTCATATTCCAATTTGTGCCTAGGATCCAGTACCTCTGCAATAAATAACATAATGTTGATATTATCAACATTTGACAAATACTTATCAAAATTTACTTTTATTCGTGTAGTCATATTACATAAGCCAAGATCAGGACATTTACACCATGTTGAAATCTTCAACCCAACACCGAAAATCTCTCACATGTATGCATTACCAGTAACATAAAGAGACCCAGAGACGCATAGAGTAGCATCGTAAAATACTTTCAAGAAAGGTAACAAGTAGTGAGCATACTCCCAATCAGTACTCATAAGCAAACCTCGTGACCTATCACCACTAGTAAGCTCATCTGCATACTTACTATCTTCCAATGCCAATAACTCAAAAGCTTTCTGAAATTTTAATGCCGCTTCCAACATCAAATATGTAGAGTTCCACCAGGTTTCTACATCAAGAACCAAATGACTTTTACTTACGATTTTTTCTTTCTCCACACACCCCTTAAATCTTTGTAACATTGCTGTAGAAGACCTTACATACCTCACTGTTGAACGTGTTTTAAATATGGAGTCATCCATTTCCTTTAACCCTTCTTTCACAATTAAACTCAAAATATGTGCACAACATCTCATATGTAGAAAATCAGCATCCAATACACTTCCCTTCTAACTTGCTAGTCTAGTGTTGAGATAGATTACCCCAACATCATTGAAACTAGCATTGTCTACTGTGATTGTGAATACCTTATAAATACCCCAATCAAGCAAACACCTCTTAACTGTCTTGCCAATCGTTATACCTTTATGACTAGTGATTGGACAGAAAATTAAAATTCTTTTCTGTAGTTGCCAATGATCATCAATGAAATGCGCAGTAAGGCACATATAATTAAGGTTCTGAATGCTTGTCCGTGTATCAGTTGTCAGACAAACTCTATGCGAAAACTTACTGAAAAAACTTCTTTAACTTTTGGCACTCTCCAATATACATTTTGAAACAATCTTTAGTCACGGTTCTCTGGCAAGGTACTTGAAACCTAGGTTGTGTCACATTCATCACGTTGCAGAACCCCTCACGCTCCACAAAACTAAAAGGTAACTCATCAACAATTATCATTTTTGCTATAGACTCTCTAATCATATTTGGATCATATTTCCATGACACCAATGAAGATTGTGCGGAGAGGGCAATGCTGCTTGAGAGATCACGTGATCCTTGTTGAAAAATTAGGGTTTTATGTCTCCTTTCTGCCACATTTGGAGGATACTTTTTGTATCTATTTAAGTGGTTACGTAGACAACTCATACCACTCTTACTCAGACATGCTAGAACACTCCCACAGTAACTGCATGTCGCAGTCAAATCATCCTTATTCTCACAATAGCTCTTAACAAAGTGATCCCACATTTAAGAACTATTCTTCCTAATACTTGTATCCCTTGCACGTTTGGGGGCTAAAGGTGCTGGTGGTGGCATGAAATTTGGAGTTGGAGTCATACTTGTCGGTGTCTCACAAGTATTGTCAGTGGCCGATGACATCTACAATTTCATCAAATAAAAATATGCATTAAGTAAATAAGACATCTATATAAATAATATTCTTTTATTTATTGACAATAACTAAAAGTAAAAGAAAAAATTTTGGACATGTAAATTATAAAGACATCCATCAATTAATAATAAAACATAAGGCCACCAATTTACACATAGTCATAGGTCCATCCAAATCCAAATCCAACACAAATTCAATTCAATTTGCACAATTTCAATATAATGTATGCCCCATACAGTCACTCAATACGAGAATGCAAATTTGACTACTTTACTACATTACTCCATATCTCAAAATTATGTTTCTTAAATTAATTAAACCTTTTTCTTTTTTGGTAATTTTAAATGTATAAATTATTAGACTTTTTACTACAAATAGAACACTTAAAATGTAAAAGTTTCATATTTAAAAATTGGAGTTCCATTTATCTGGTTATTTAAAAATTGAAGATGATAACTACAGTTTTTGAAGGTAAAAATAACTTTATTCGGATGATAACTATACTACAGTGAGAGGAAAGTGAAAATCAAGAGTTTCTGAAATATTAAAAAATGTAATGACATTTTTACTCTTCAAGACCTAACCAATGTCTGATGGTTTTGGGGACGAGAAAATAAGCATCAGGGTCACTTAGGAAAAGCTACAAAGATGAGGTGTCATTATCAGGAAACATAAGAAGAATTTTCAGCAAGGGGTGGGGTGAGCAAGTAAATGGATGGAGATTTGAGGATTAATATCAACCAAGTTTAAACAATTCATATTGCTATGATGCCCATAATTCACATGCAAATGGAATTGGGTTACCCAACATGAGAATGCAGGATGAGAAATGGCGAGGAAGAACTTTCTGCAGAAAGCAGATGCTCTAAATCAACCAGAGGAAAAGCTAGCTCCTCATTCAAAATATCCATGGAGTTCAACTATCAAACTTAACAACTAGAAGATAAACTACCCCCTCTCATGATTAGAATGACTCTAGGTGTATGAACTTCTCTTACACAACTTAAAAATGACAAGGATCATTGGATCCTGACCCAAAAAAAAATAAAAAAATGACAATAATCAAGCCCTAAAAAGCAGACCCATATCAAGAAGGATAAAGATTAATAATCCTTGTCAATACACCACATAAATTTCATTGTTTCTAACCTAGCTTTTTGTATCCAGAACCAAAAACATACCCAAAATAAACTGAAGAAGTTCCATACAAATTGAAAATTTCGAAAGCAGTAAAACATTGCATACTCAAACAAAATTTAAATAGTTCTATAAAATGTCTAAATATTCACCAGATCTGTTGCTGAATTAGAAGATGCTAATGGCGGAGCAGTGGAGCAGCTTGAGGATTGTAGTCGCAGATCTGAACGGCAGTGGAAACTAGAGCTATAGTGGTCGACTCTTGACTGTCGTGACGTTGTCACTGTTCCTGGTTGAGGATTGCAGTCATAGAGCAACGGTTGTGGACTGTAATATGTGGGTGGTTGTTGTGGCGATGTTGTGGATTGTGGGTGAGTGGGGGTTGATGTGAACTACAACGCAACAAATGTGGACTGTTGTCGTCAGCTCGTTACCTGTGAGTGGGTGGTTGTTGTGCTGAATGGTGCTGTTGGGTGAGTGGGTGTCGGCGAAATGGATGCTAAATGGTGTTGTTGGAGTGGATATGTGTGGGATTGTCAACTCACTATGGTTGGAGCTGTAGGGTGTTGGCGAACAGGCGAAGTGCAAAGAAATGAAGAATTGAAGATGGAATGGAGTGGAGTGGAGTGGAGTGAGTGGAGTTTGCTATGCAGAGTGCGCACTGTGGAGATTCGAGCTTGGAGGTGGAGAAGAGAAATAGAGAAGTAGAGAATATTGAAAAATAAATAAAGGCTTGCTTATATACTTAGGGTATAACCGGTTTTCAAAACCGGTCCGATTAACTGGTTTGAGATATTTCTCAAACCAAAAACCAAACTGGTTTGTAAAAAAAACCTAATTTTAGGTTCAGTTTCGGATCGATTTTCGGTTCAGTTCGGTTTCCAGATTATTTCTCCCACCCCTAGTCCAAACCCCATTTAATTTAACGATATTCTTTAAGTTCTCAACCAATGGGAAGACAAGAGAGATTTGTACTGCACCAACCCACTTGCAGAATTGTAATCATTATCTTAAGCACAACAGGTATAAATAGACAGCTTCCACTTATAAAATGGGGATCAGACCCCTTGAATTTAACAAGGAAAATAGCAAAGACATACTACGAGAAATAGACTGATTTGACAGCTTCTAAGAACACCAAGCACTTGTAACACTAGATCACAATTCGCGACCGATTGTAATCTTATCTCACGACCAGGAACACACTCATATAAAAGAAAACAGTAGATATAGGATTTGCTTTAAGCATCTTAACCACTATAAAAACCTTACTTGTCTCATTTATATTTTTATGTCTTTGCATGCTACTGTGAAAACAATACCATAATCACCTCTTATAATCATTTCCTGTGTAATTTTTAAGAATCTCTTAACACTTTGCACATGCGAAGTCGTTGATGTCAAAATCAAGTATCAACAAAAAGGTCTTCTTATTTTACAAGCATCACTTCTGTATGTAAAAATATTTTTATGTTCTTTCCTATTCGATCAGGTTTAACACACCATCAAATTTATATTCGTTTCCTGCACAGCACACAACACAACATCTTGCAAAAAAAATCAGTTGGAATCTCTGTCTTATGTATTCAGTTTTCCCTGCACTATACAAAAATCATCAAAGAGGCATTCTTCAATCTTCAATATTACTTTTTTATGGTGATCTCTGTACATATGCAATTTTCGATCCCTGCATTTATTAAGTATTTGATTGAATTAACTTTCTACATGCATTTTTCTATGTATTTTATGTTAAACTTGTATTTTTTAATGGTCTAATACCCAACACAAACACACAAGTAGTTGACACAGGAGGTTAAATGCATACTTCCAATAAACTAGTATTGCAGGTTATGTTGCAGGTTATGCAGAAATCATGCAAGTTCCTTAGTAGTCACTAATGCAACATTTGAACAAAGAAATTGCATTATTCAAAAAAAGCAGTATGACTTCTTGTGCTTTTGAAATTTGGCTTTTCTAATAACATGTTAGTTTCTACTATATAAGAGTAAACGACATATTCCCACCTGAGGTTTGGCGAAATCCCAAGTTGGTATACGTGGTTACATTTATTTCAGATTCTTACCTTTAAAGTGATGGAAAATTGTTTGATATAACGGTATAGGGATAAATTGGTCATTTTACAGTAGGCGACAGACGTGAGCAGATCGCCGCCTCTAACAGTGCTTTGGCACACGTTAACAGATGTTGCCCCCGACGTTTTTCACATTTTTTCGACGATTCTTCTATCCAAAATCACCCTTGTCACCACCATTCGAACCTTCATCCTCCCCTTTACAAAACCTTACCCTTCACAACCCCTCATCACTAACCAATCGCCGACCATGGCAGCCGAGACATGCAACTATTTTTTGCCAGTTTTCAACCGTTTTGAGCAGCAACAACCCTAACCACCACCACCATTTGACTCCTCGCATCCCCCTTACAAAACCCTTAACCTTCTCGGCCATGATAGCTCACCATTTGCCAGCCACGATAGCTTCCAAAAACGCGATGAACACAAACCTATCAGTCGGCGAACAACGACTAAATGGTTGGTGGGGACATAGAGGTTTTGTAAAGTTGGAGACGGTGGTTGCAGTGGTGGTGTCCAATTGGATTTTTACTGTCAGAATTTGACGAAGAATAGCAAAACCCTAAACCTAACAACGCTGGTGATCAGAGGGGCCAATGAGTCAAGAACCAGAGGGGTTTTGGATGACAGACTATGGGGAAGGTGATGGAGGTGGCCAAGGGGTTCAACGTCGTTGGAAACAGCCCAGATGGGCAAAAATTAAGAAGGTGCACAGTCACCGAGGGTGTTATTGAAGTAATTTGAAAATAAAATGGTTAATTTTATAATTATACTAATTTAGGGGTTAAAACATAATTTATTAATTTATTTGTTAAGGGCATTATGATAATTATAGCCTCTATAACCTAAAAATTTGTTACTTTAAGGGTGGAAATAATACTATATCAACAACCCTCTCTCACAAACTTTAACTCACAACCCTGACGTAACAATTCGTAATTGATTAGTTCACAATGAGTCTCACATGTGTCATGCATAGGTCCCACTAATTAATTACGAACTGTTACATCAGAGTTATAAGAGAAAGTTTATGAGAAAGTATTGTTAATATAGTATTACTCAAGGTTGGAATCTGAAATAAATAGAACCTGAGTTTTTTGCCAAACTTTGGGTGGGAAAATGTTGTTTACTCGCTATATAAATTAAACGAATTGGAATATTGTGGCACACAGTGGGTTGGACTTGGACCCAACAATCAAAAGCTTCCTCCTGACGTGTACCTAACATAGGCTACATCTTTACTCAAAATCATATTTGAATAACTCTGTGTTAAAAGCCGAACCTTTTCTTACTTTCTATAAAAATACTACAAGAAAGAAAATAGATGTCCAATCAAAAGAGAATTAATTGAACCGGAAGGCTCGTGTGGTGGGCCCACTTATATCGTGCCTTTTATAAAATGCCAGCTAAGCATTGACCAGTCTCCGTTTTGACCACTTTGATCCATTCCATTCCATGCCCCCTCGTGCACTTTGTTTGCTTTTTTTGACCAGCAGAAGATTGACACGCGGTGGTAGGAACAGTGAACTGCTGCCTCTTTTGCTCCTGGCTTCTCTAATTCTTTATTTCTTTAATCTAATCCCTTTTTTTAATCACTTGGTTTGACTACGATTGGGATGAGCGTATAGTATATTAAGAGCCATATGAACATTGAACGCTCTTTACAGATCCTCCTTTTAGATTAGAATCTTAAATATTAGTACGATACTTCAAGATTCAGAGTGTTACCCTGCAGAACTGGGAATGGGGGCTCAATATGGGGCTTTATCAAGGTTAATGCTAATAAACCACATTAATCCCAGTTAATTTAAGTAGGGAAGATTTCTGGGTCCACAGGCCATACCGATTCAAGTGCCAAAAAGCTAACCATGTTCACTGCCATTTCATATGCTGTGTCATGTTTGGAAGTACAATTTAGGATCATGTTTATGAAGATTTGTATTATAGTTTGTTTAATTACTTCATCTATAAATACAATTAAATTACAGTTGATAACAGGCATACATTAGCTTCATGTTACTTTAAAGCAATTCATGTTTGTACGGCAAAGGTGATGATAACATCAGATGTCCGCACTCAACATCAGATTTCTTTCAATCAAGGAGATTTGCAGAATTCCTTACCTTTTGTTGTGATGATTCCTGATGTCATTCAAAGCTTCATCATTTCATTATATACTAAGATTTATAGATGATCTGTATTATTGTTTTAAAACCCGACTACCCGGTCGATTTAATCGGTCTAGCCAGGACCCAGGACCTTCACGAGGCTAGGTCACCCATTTCCACTATTTAAAACCCGAATAAGCAAACCCTAGAAAGGAGGGCGGCAATCGGCAAGTAAACGATGATGAGGCTGTTGGGAGTTTTAGAAAGGAAGTGCTTGTGAGTTGAAAGATGGCAACCAAGTGATTTACAATGAGTGAAACGACCGAAAAAGGCAAAAATCGTCAACGATTGGTAGGGTGAGTGAAGGGTAAGGTGGGTTTTGGTCAAGAGGTTAAAGGGAGTGTTTTCATGGTGATAGAGAGTGTTGTCAATGCCGGAAACATGCTACATGCCCATTTGGCCACTTTATCGGATTTCACCCCGGATCGGTTATTAAAACATTAATCTGTATAACATCAATTATTTGACAAAAGGTTTCTTTTATACAACTCATGATACATTTAAGGATTAAGATCATCATTTAAATAAGAAATAACAACATCAGTCAAACCAAGGCAAAGACAGCCGGATCTAAACAAATAGTCCTTGAGATGTTTTTAATGGCGTTTGTATCCAGTTATATGTTTTCTACATAACATTACTCCTAATTTGAGAATTAATTTCAGAAATCTCACCTATTATTTCTCGAAGGGCAATATGATTTTTGAGAATTGATGCATGCGAAACATCATTAATTCTAATTACCTTAAGGGATTGATTTTTCTTATCAGCCCATAGCGACTCAAGAGCCAACAAACTAACCATATTCACTGTCCCGTCCCCATCCCCATAAACAACATGCGGCCGCTCATCGAAATCACTTGTTTTATAGAACAGTTTCTCTGCGGTTCTTACACCGCTTCCAATAATGCATGTCATCGGCACCTCAGGCGCAATTAACTCTTCCATCAAAGGTAAAATACGTGTCTCAAAAGGATAAACCCCTTGTGGAAATCCAATGTCATTAAGAAATTTTGGGATATCATCAGCTGAATAAGTAGCATTTGGGGTGATAACTAGTGGATTTTGCCACCCAAATATTTTCGAACTAGGCAAAAGCCACAGGTTGCTTTCAGAGCTCCTCTGCTCCTGTCTCACCAGCAATGGATCAACAAGCGGCACCCCAAGCGTATTCCCAGAAGCAAAAGTGAGCATTTGTTCCGCAGTGCCACCCCATGGTGCAGAAAGTGCAACAAAGTGTTTGATAAATTTTTTGCGCCAAGACAGTGGGTTTCTGTTGAGAAGTTGTAAGACAAAAAGCCCTCCTAAGCTGTGGGAGAGAAGTATTACTGGTTTTCCACCATTAGAAGTGCTTGCTTTTTCGATTAAGGCTTTTAGGTCTTGCAGAAATTTGGAGCCAACATGGGTTGGATGACCTGCTGCTGCTAATCCATATCGAAAATCGTAGGGAGCTCCAAAGAGGTTGTCACCAGAAACATAGCCTATTCGTTCCAGAGATTCCACTAGAGGTGCCATGTATGATGTAACGTGCCTGTACATTTAGCATTGCAAGTTGAAGCTTAAAAAGGACTGAGCTCATTCAAAAATTATGCAAGACCGATAATCAATTTATTACTGGAATAAAAGTTTCCGCCAAATCTAAAATTTGACAGTTCATTAGGAAAAATGCTACAACGTATTTGTAACCATATCAAGAAAAATGTTGAATTTTCATCTTCAAGAACCTTAATTGCACGGTCGTGTACCACTTAAATTAAATCAAACGAGACACAGGGGGCATATTTAAAATAAAACAGTGCACAAGAATTTACTTGAGATTAGGATCGAGGTAGAGGAGAGACTGAGTGGAACCGAAGTGAGGGGCTTTAGTTTCAACACCAGGAGCATTATAAAAGTCATCCAAATCAAGGTCATAGTAGAGCATCATGCGCTCGGCAAAGCACTTGGTGAATGGAGCAAATAGAACACTGAGGTCGAACCATAGCCTGAACCACCCGTTCTTGTCCCTGGAAGTTGGGTACCAACGATTACACAAGAGGCTTGAAGGCTTGTAGTCACTGGTTAGCCGTGCTTCTAGTTGGTTACCACCATTTCCGGGTACCAAGATCAGAGGATGGAGGTTGCTGGTTGCTTGACACATGCAAAGCATCACAATTATTAATGCGCCTACCTCCAAACCCAATCCTTTCATCCCTTATCTTCCTTATCTATTGATCAAGATAAAGAGAAAAAAAGAAAGGACGGGCAAAGAACGGGATCTGCAGACTACAATAACGTCCTGCCTTCGTTATGTCCCCTACAAGAATCGTGTGGTGGAGATTGGAAAATGTGTTCAGTTGTCAATCCAGTGTTATTGTTTGAGTTGCATGAGGGCCCAATATGGGATTAAGAATGTAAGATCAGAGCAAGCCCGTACAAAATAAAACCAATTTTGGGCCTGAATAGTACATCCATCGGTAATCAAATCATCCGGGCCTCGTTTAGGGGAGGACTGTGGCAAGTTCTTTGTTACTTAATTATTGCCAAGCGGAATTGTTTGGTGTGACTTTGCTATCATAACACACAAGTATGGGATTTTAATGTTTAAATTTAATATGAGTATAGGACGAATGTTATGTAGATTGGACTTTGGAGTGTCCTGGGTGCTTGTAGAATATGTGCTGGCATTTTAAAAAGTCAGTGAGTATGTTTGAAGATAAAGACATTTCAAAATAATAATAAAGGTCCAAGATACAGTGCAGTGATTTGATGGCTTTTTACAAAAATATGACGTCTGATGACTATAAATGTTACTAAAATTATTATGTTGCCATTTGCCACCACCACCAATAACTGATACAGTGCAGTGATTTGATGGTTTGTTCCCCTAAACTCCATTCATGATACAAGGGGCGCCTCCAAGAATTAAAAAAAAAAAATAATAATAATAATGTTGATTTTATAGAGATCGGTAAGGTTACCAATATCTTTGTTTCACCGTAAAACATCATCTTTGAAAATGTCACCATACAGATGATTGTATTCTTTAGAATTACTCATCCAATAATACCGGTTCAAAAATTTTAGTCATTTATTATTGATAACGTACCGTTTCTTTTACCTTAATTTACATTGATTTCTAAGATAATGCTTTAACAATTATTTTTGAAAAAGTCATGATCAGGAGTAGCAGTATTTCAAATGTCAACTAACTCTAAAATTCTTATGATATTTATTTACACCATGCTCGGACCTAATACCTACATCCGAGGGGTCAGAATTCCCAGATTGGACCACATAGCCATTAAGGTTACTTAAATGCTGTTTCACCAATTGAAATTATAATAATTATATTATGGTTATAATTATAATGATTATCCAGAAAAATCATCACAGTTGAGTTCAGTGGAATACTATGGGCTTGAATTGCTTTTTTGGTTATACATCATAATTATAGCTCGGGTCAACGATTTCCAGTCTTTGAATTTGAGCCTGCTTTTTGATTTAAATATATATAGTACAACTCTACATGTCGTTCTTATCTCTAATAGAAAATAACTTTTTTCTATTCCTGCGGGCTATCATTTGAGAAGGTCGTAAGTCGTAACCCACTTTATCTGTCTTCATACCTTCCACGCAACCACTTTGCAGCTTCTTAATTACTCTCTACAAAACCAAACCTCTCCCAACTGCCTCTTCCACAAAACCCCAATTTCTTTTCTTTACACTCGATCTTTCTATCATTTAATTCAAAGCCTGTTGTTTGTTTTCTTGTCATCAATCTTTCTTTTTTATGTTTTCTTCTTATCGTTGAAACAAATAAGAAGTGCAATATGAAAGGCAAACACAACCAAAGCAAGTTCATGCGGTTCATTAGAATGCCCTTCAGAGTTTTAGGCAAAGCTAGAGATTTCTATGTTCGGAGTTTGACAGAATATGCAGCAAAGGGAAATTACGGCAACGGCATGAGCTTTCAAGGCGGGCAATTCCCTTCATTGCCCAAGAGCTTTAGTGTTGGCGCATCAAGGTCTAACGCTAGCGAAGATTATAGTGAGCTTATCAGAGCCGCTTCTGTGCGGAGCATGGGCCACAGAAATGAAGTGGACTTGTTGATACACCAACATTTAATGCAGTCAGCCGCTAATAGATCTAAAGAATTCCCCAAGAGTAGCAGTGTTGGGATGAAATTTATGGGAAGAATTGAGGAGGAAAAATCTTGTGATTTAGAAGACAGTGTTGATGGTAAAGGTAATAAATCAGACTACAACAAGTTCCCAAGAAGCAGAAGCGTTGCTGTTTCAAACAGAAGTCCAGTGCTGTAATATTATTGGTGTGAGAATTGTTTATGCAAAGACGACTGTCATCATGGTTTACTTCATTTCTTCTGTGTATGTTTGTAGAAAGCTTTTTTCAAGTTTAGTCCTTATAATTATGAGATTGGCTACATTTTTCTTCTGAAACATACGAGGATCAAACCGTAGCATAATTCACTTAAAAATAGTACTAGTATTATCCCATAAGGCCATAACCATTCTTTTCTCATATCTTCATCTTTCAGTTGCATACGAAAATCATAAATGGATTAAAATTCTTCTCAAGATGGTTGATGGAGTTTTAATTTTAACACTCTAACTAAATTAAAATAGCAAAATTAAGAATCCTAATTTAAGATTAACCATTACTTAATTAGTGGCATACTTACCGCCTAATACATATAATTTAGGTGGTGCATAATTGACATTAAGCCGGTTCAATACATGCGCGTTGAAGATGAGTGCGACTGCCCAACTACCCCCTTCCTATGAAAGAAATGTTTCGGATAATGCGATCATTAATGGACTCTAGCAAGCATCTTGACAATAATTTTAATAAGTGTGAATCCAATAATATTATAATAAAGATAATAATATTAAACTAATAATTCCCACTCATATTTTAAAAAAAAAAAAAAATTATAATAAAGATAATAATATTAAACTAATAATTCCCACTCATATTTTAGCAAAAAAAAAACAAGAGAAAGAAACTTAAAATAAATTAGAAAGGGTGCCGGTTTCAATTGTTTAACTACAGAATCAATGACCTATTCACTGATTACCACATTGTCAACTGCTTCCCCTATTGGAATGTCTTCAATGAAGTTAAATTATATTTTGATAAATGATAAATAATATTGATAATAATATATTTTGAAGTAAGTGAGAATAATATTTTAGCAGAAAAATAAAATAAAAGAAACTTTAAATGAATAAGAAAGGGCGCCGGTTTCAATTGTTGAACCGACTTATTCGTTAATTATCTCATAGTCAACTGCTTCCCAGTTGAAGTTTAGAGGTCTTCAATGAAATTAAATTATAGAAACATATAAAGTTTCCGTTTACCTTTTCTTTGACGACGTTCTTTCATCCTTGCATCATACATTCCTTTGATCAATTTAAAGATGTATTTACGATTTTTTAGAAAAATTGAAATCAGTGTTCAATTCCTGGGCTTCAAAGTGACCACCTTAAGGCCCACATATACTCTTTGCAATGGGCTATGGCTTGATGAACAATCCAGAAGGTGATTTAAACTACCAAAAACGCCCTTACAAGACCCGTGCTACTGCTACCACCATAATCTAAAAGAAATGCGTCACCCTCCCGCCACAGAACAGTACACAACCTCACTATCTCTCTCATCAATAACAGTTTTTCATCAAATCAATCGACAATGGTGACGGAGAAAGGGACAAACGTTACGTACGTCGAGGACGAAGATGATTTGGATGAAGAACCCGGTGAGGTGATCGAATCAGCTCCACCTCTGCAAGTTGGTGAAGAGAGAGTGCTCAGTAACTTCGGTATAAAAAAGAAGCTCCTCAAACGTGGCGTCGGCTGGGAAACCCCCGAATTCGGTGACGAAGTCACCAGTAACACTCCTTAAACTTTATACACTCGCAGATTGTTTTTATATCTATATCCCATTTATAGTTCAATTTATTGCAGTTCATTACGTTGGAACTTTGTTTAATGGAACGAGTTTTGATTCTACAAGAGATATAGATGAGCCATTGACTTTTAAGCTTGGCAGTGGTCAGTTTTTGGTGATTTCATAATTATTTAATTAAATTGAGTAGCTTAATTTCTGGTTTATTTAACTTTAATTGCTGTGTTGTTGGATTTATTTTTAGGTAAGGTGTTGAGAGGGTTGGATAATGGGATAGCTACTATGAAGAAGGAGGAATGTGCGGTGTTCACATTGCCTTCTGAATTAGGTTTTGGAGTTGGAGGCCGTGAAGGTGTGCCCCCGAATTCGGTTGTACTGTACGAAGTTGAACTGCTCTCGTGGATAACAGTGGTTGATGTGAGTAAAGATGGTGGGATTATCAAGAAAATTTTGGAGAAGGGAAAGAGGAACGAGTTGCCTGGTGACTTGGATGAAGTTCTCGGTACTTTATTGCGGTTTATTTTGTTAATTTTTGCTTCCTCTTATGCTAATTACTTTGGCAAGATTGCCATTTCAGTTGTTAGTGGAATTTTCTATGTTTGTAATCTTATTGCTAAGAAGGTGTTGTTTGGTACTGTAGTGAAGTATCACATTGTTCTTGGTGATGGCACTGTAATAACGAAAACACCCGAAGAAGGAATTGAGTTTTATGTGAAAGACGGTAATTTATACTAACCATAGGGTCTCTGTGTATGAATTTTTGTAACCATTTAGCAATGTTGGAATCTTGTTATTAATTGTTGTCATTTTTTCAGGTCATCTTTGTCCTGCTTTGGCTAAAGCAATTTTAACTATGAAAAAGGGAGAGAGGGCCAAATTAATCATTCAGCCTCAATGTATGCCTTCCATTACTGTTATTTTGTTGAAATGTTTGAGTTTATCGTGTTGTATTTGCTTGATATTGGGTTGAGAATAATGCTTGTTTACATCATATACTGTTTTTCTATTTGGTGTTCTGAACTTGATAGGTAACAAGTTTAATGAAAAATGTAAGATCCTCCCACAGAGATTTACCTACTGAAGTGCCATTAATGGTTCAATGCAACCTGAAACTGAAGCAGAATAATGGTAAGCTGTAGGAGATGATGAAAAGTCCTAGTTGAGAAAGTAGTCATAGAATAATTAGCCTTGAAGATTCACTTCTGAGAGATTATTTAGATTAGAAAGAATAGATGTGCAGGCCTCTGTAGTGTAGTTCAATAGTGCTTAAGTATTATGGTGTACATGTTTCTGATATTGATTCTAACTTTTGCCTAAGTGTTATGGAAAGATTTCTTTGGTGACACTTATGCCAGAATCTTATCAAGCTTTGATTATTTACTATAAGATTTAGTACTAGAAGTCTGTTCTCTGTTTTGAAATTCATGCAAATAATCTTAGAAAATTTGCAGATGCTTTTGGAGAGCAGGGCAGGGATGCTAATGATGGATTCCATACGATCCCACCAAGTTCTGTTCTGCATGTTGATCTGGAGTTGATGTCCTTCAAGCCTGTGATTGATGTTTATGGTGATTCCAAGGTATTTAAGAAGATCTTGAGAGAGGGGGAAGGCACTATCAATGCAGATGAAGGTGCTACTGTAACCAGTAAGTAAACTGATGTATGAATAATGGTGGGCTTAACAGTATGCTGTATGAATCATGACATCTCAAGTTACCCTAATTAAAACAATGTTCATTCTGTCTTAAACTCTTCAATGTTGCAGTCAGATACACGGCTAGGCTAGAAGATGGAACTATCTTTGAGAAAAAGGGAATTGATGGGGGGCAGCCTCTGGAATTTATAATAGATGAAGGTAGTGCATCCCCACTATTCTCACGTTGTCTTCTTTTTTTAATAGTCTTGCACTTTCTTGTCATGTATATTTAACATTATACTAAAAAATTAGGGATAAAAAATGTATTTTAATCTAGTATAAGTTCTATCATTATTTACTACAGCTATTTGACATTAATTCATATAAGAAGTCAGTGACTTTGATAGTTGTTTAATAAATGAAGGCTTTTCTTTTATATACATAATGATATGATATAGATTTGTAAAATCATAATCTAGAATCTAATAAACTCCTCACTATTTGCTGTATATAGAACAAGTTATTGCTGGTTTAGACCGAGTAGCAGCAACAATGAAGAAGGGTGAACGAGCAATATTAACGATAAATCCTGAATATGGTTTTGGAACTGTTGAAGTAAAGCGGGATCTTGCTACAGTGCCTCCGCATTCAAAGCTATTTTATGATGTCGAAATGTTAGATCTTATCAAGGTAACAGATGCAGTGATTACTTACTATTATTAGCATTATATTTTTATAGGCGACTGTAATTATATAGTGTATGGTAGCAGTTCATATTCTACATTAATGCGCTTTCATAATAGGTATTTGGGATCCATATTTGAGTTTTCTAATTGGAGAGTGCTTTCCCACCACTTTTCTTTTTTGATTAANGTATGCCTTCGATTACTGTTATTTTGTTGAAATGTTTGAGTTTATCGTGTTGTATTTGCTTGATATTGGGCTGAGAATAATGCTTGTTTGCATCATATACTGTTTTTCTATTTGGTGTTCTGAACTTGATAGGTAACAAGTTTAATGAAAAATGTAAGATCCTCCCACAGAGATTTACCTACTGAAGTGCCATTAATAGTTCAATGCAACCTGAAACTGAAGCAGAATAATGGTAAGCTGTAGGAGATGATGAAAAGTCCTAGTTGAGAAAGTAGTCATAGAATAATTAGCCTTGAAGATTCACTTCTGAGAGATTATTTAGATTAGAAAGAATAGATGTGCAGGCCTCTGTAGTGTAGTTCAATAGTGCTTAAGTATTATGGTGTACATGTTTCTGATATTGATTCTAACTTTTGCCTAAGTGTTATGGAAAGATTTCTTTGGTGACACTTATGCCAGAATCTTATCAAGCTTTGATTATTTACTATAAGATTTAGTACTAGAAGTCTGTTCTCTGTTTTGAAATTCATGCAAATAATCTTAGAAAATTTGCAGATGCTTTTGGAGAGCAGGGCAGGGATGCTAATGATGGATTCCATACGATCCCACCAAGTTCTGTTCTGCATGTTGATCTGGAGTTGATGTCCTTCAAGCCTGTGATTGATGTTTATGGTGATTCCAAGGTATTTAAGAAGATCTTGAGAGAGGGGGAAGGCACTATCAATGCAGATGAAGGTGCTACTGTAACCAGTAAGTAAACTGATGTATGAATAATGGTGGGCTTAACAGTATGCTGTATGAATCATGACATCTCAAGTTACCCTAATTAAAACAATGTTCATTCTGTCTTAAACTCTTCAATGTTGCAGTCAGATACACGGCTAGGCTAGAAGATGGAACTATCTTTGAGAAAAAGGGAATTGATGGGGGGCAGCCTCTGGAATTTATAATAGATGAAGGTAGTGCATCCCCACTATTCTCACGTTGTCTTCTTTTTTTAATATTCTTGCACTTTCTTGTCATGTATATTTAACATTATACTAAAAAATTAGGGATAACAAATGTATTTTAATCTAGTATAAGTTCTATCATTATTTACTACAGCTATTTGACATTAATTCATATAAGAAGTCAGTGACTTTGATAGTTGTTTAATAAATGAAGGCTTTTCTTTTATATACATAATGATATGATATAGATTTGTAAAATCATCATCAAAAATCTAATAAACTCCTCACTATTTGCTGTATATAGAACAAGTTATTGCTGGTTTAGACCGAGTAGCAGCATCAATGAAGAAGGGTGAACGAGCAATATTAACAATAAATCCTGAATATGGTTTTGGAACTGTTGAAGTAAAGCGGGATCTTGCTACAGTGCCTCCGCATTCAAAGCTATTTTATGATGTTGAAATGTTAGATTTTATCAAGGTAACAGATGCAGTGATTATTTGTTATTATTAACATTATATTTTTATAGGCGACTGTAATTATATAGTGTATGGTTGCAGTTCATATTCTACATTAATGCGCTTTCACAATAGGTATTTGGGATTCATATTTGAGTTTTCTAATTGGAGAGTGCTTTCCCACCACTTTTCTTTTTTGATTAAAGGAAAAAGGACCATGGGAGATGACTAATCAGGAGAAAATTGAGGTTGCTGGGAGGAAGAAAGAAGAAGGCAATTTGCTTTTTAAAGAAGGGAAGTATCAACGAGCCGGAAAAAAATATGACAAGGTAGTTAGATGCTTCAGTTTACTTAAACTGAAATTCATTGGGGTCCAAGTTTATGGACTTTTGACTTTGGTTTTTACTGTTTGCTCTGTGTCCTCAGGCAGCAGACTTTGTGAGTGAAGATGAATCCTTTGTGGATGATGAGCAAAAGTTTGTCAAGTCGTTGAGAATTTCTTGCTGGTTGAACGGTGCAGCTTGTAGTCTCAAACTAAACGATTTCCAAGAAGCAATCAGGTTATGTTCAAAGGTAAGTTACGGAAGGGTAAAAACCAAATATGATTTTGTTTAACAACTGAGATACCCCCACTTCCCAAATAGAATAAAATTTGTAAAATTATGCAAAAAATGTCTATTGATGATATTCAGAGGGTCATTTTGCAAATCAAAACATCATTTTATGCTCTAAATTTTGATCTCTAACAGGTGCTAGATTATGAATTCCATAATGTGAAAGCTCTGTATAGGCGAGCACAAGCCTATATGGAAATTGCTGATCTGATCTCAGCTGAATTGGACATCAGAAAAGCCATTGAGGCTGATCCTCAGAACAGGTAATGGTGACTTCTTTTAGCCCATGTTTTCTCCTTGTGTACTTTATTATGAGATGTTAGTGCTCTCATGTTCCTTATTCAGGGAGGTGCAGTCACTTCTGAAGACCTTGAAACAACTTCAAACCGAGAGCAACAAAAGAGATGCAAAGCTCTATGCAAACATGTTTGCTCGTGTAACGAAGGAATCATCTGTGGCTACCAAGGTAATTGGTGTTACCCTTTTTTGATCAGTGTTCAATATATATATTTGAAGATAAAAGGTCTGAGCCACCATTCATGTATTAGTTAAGGCCTGTTCTTTAATTGTGTCTTGATTTTCTCCTTATTCATGTTTTATTTATTTTTAGCTTACCCATTATTACCCTAAGGAAATTTGTATTACTTTCTATATTTAAGATTATTTTTCAATGTTCATTAGACTTTAGATCTTATTGTTTTGAATATAATGGCAGAAATTAAAAGTCGAGACAGCTGGGGATGAGAGGCAGGAAGTGGAAATGGGAAAAGAAGTAGGTATAAGATAGTTCAGCTTCTGACAATGGCATGGTTGTGTGGGTTCCTGTTGAAGGATACGTTAAATGTTAATGTTACTGAAATACGAAATAAGGAGAGAAAAGTAGAGGCTGTAGATTTGTTTTACCCCGTGCTAAGCACTGTTATAATATTAATCATATACCATTTTTGTAACTTGTGAATCGTCAACCTATGTATAGATGCCTTTTAAGGTGTGTTTGGTTCAGAGAATGTTGTATTATTAGAAACGTCGTATTAATAGAAAGATAGATTATTTTGAAAATTACTGGAAATGTTTATCCTAAGAAAATTAAAGTAATCATATTATCTTCTATATAATTAATAGTAATTATTATTAGTTTTAGAAGGTTATCAGAATTTAGTATATTACTTAACAATCAAACCTAATAATCAAGTAATATAAGATAATATTAACTTAACAATCAAAGTGATTCCTTGCAACCAAACACATATTTGAATTTTGAGGAATGTTTATTATGTTAACAATTACCACGTGATTGGACGCACATGCCCTTGCTACCATGCCAATACCAGAAAACTTTGATGGGAGATTTTGGATTTTGCCGACAAGTAAAAAAAGGCCTCTTGTATTTATAAAAAAAAAAAAAAAAAAAAAAATTTGACCTTCCTCAAAATTTAAAACAGTGGCTAAGCACTCAAGTCGATGGCAAAATTGAACATCCCCGGAGCGTTAAAAATCTTAAAGCAGATTCAAGTATGTGGCCAACAGAGTTTTACGATGCCAAATTGCCAATACGAGAGTTTGACACAGCTTGGAATAATTGTGCAATTAAGTTGAGTTTTAAAATTGCACAATTGAAGTTAGATATTTGTTAGGGCCAAAAATCGTCATTGGCCCAACTAGGAAAGCCAGACCATTTGTGAAGAGAAAACCAGGCCTAAATCCCAAAGAGGCCCAATCCAGATTAGTCCCATTCGATACGAGATACGGCCTGCCCAAATCATCTGGGCACGGGCCTCCCAATTCCAGTTCACTTCCTGGGTCTATAGGCGAGTTCCGAGCCCACGACCCACTGATCATATTCATATTTCTGATCAATCTCCTACTCGAAGTCATTTTCCTGTTCAGAACACTTTCTTACTCGAAGTTACTTTCCTGATCAGGATCACTTTCCTATCCGGACGCTGGTAAGACAGCTATCCACAGCTCTAATTCTTCTAGGGTTTGCATCAGAGTCACATGAGGACTCCTCCTCCCACCAGGATTGGGAGGTCAGACAGTCACTATATAAACAGAGGTCAGCCCTCTCACAGAGGACACACTGCATTACACCTCCACATCCGAAGCTCCTACTTGAGAGCTTTTCATCACTGCTGTAGTCACAGTCTCCGACTAGACTTTCGATAACCTCTCTACTCCCTAGCCCTCACTATACTAGCCTCTTTCACCTTTGTTGACTGGAGCGTCGGAGAGCCTACGGTAAACACCACCTCGGTGTTTCCCGTTTGCTTCACGCGTTTGTTTCTCTACGTGTGCAGGTGCAGCGGATCGCTAGTGGCCTCAACCTCACGGGATCAGACCCCCCTTCTGTACAAGTAGATTTTTACGTCTACAGTTTGGCACCCACCGTGTGGCCTCTAGCAATCATTCGGCTCGACGAACCTTGCTGCGTAGAAGAACTTTCCATGGCTGACAACTCCGATAACGCTAATCCCGGCCTCGAGGCCAAACTGGAAGCTCTAACCGGTCTCATGCAACAGAACTTAGACAAGGTGGCTGCATTGGAAGCTGAGAACAATGCGATCCAGACGGAAAACGCGTCCATCAGGTCAGAAAACCAATCCCTCAAGGAGAAGGTGAGTCAATTCTATGACCTAGAGTTCCTGCCCGGCCAAGCACCCCCCAATCGGTTCCGCACCCCTGTTCCGTCCATGCAACCTCTCCTTACGTCGGAGCCCCGACCCTCGGCCTCTAGCAAAAGGCCGCGTCCCTTAAACCTGTCTGCGGTCGGCGATTCTGTCCTAATTCATGGAGATAAAGATATGTCTATAGAACATCATTCAGCCGATTCATCCCAGCATCAAGACCAAGACGATCCGATGGCAGAAAGCCCTCATCCACAAGACCAGCTCAATCTAACCATCCCAACACATACTCCTTTCGGCTTGGCTCATCCTCGCGGGATGAACGGCCAAACTAAACTAGCAGCACCCGAGCCCATCCATCTTGACCAACCGAATGACTATCAGAGGACTCCCCTGACCATCCATGTAGGGCGAAACACCAGAACAGTTACCATGGGAGTCATCCAACCAGAAGAAATGACCGAAGATCTATGCTATCAGGGAATGCACGAAGGGACTCGTCAGACTACCCCAAGAGGGGTGACCTAACGGAATGTACCAAAGTTAAATGCAAAGGCCGACCCAGTCATGCGGGATGACCTAGTGGCGTCCCTTTCTCCTATGGAACAGGTATTAGCCAAGAGATTGGCCGATGTGGAAGCAGTGATGCGACGCATTCCAGGAATACCGGTCCCAACCAAGAAGAGCAGACCTCATTGTTACGCGGATTCACCCTTCGTGGACTAGATCGCCTTAGCCGACATGCCTCAGAAGTTCACTATCCTCAACATGAAAATGTACGATGGCACAACCGATCCGGACGATCACATAGCCTCGTACAAGCAGCGGATGTTCACCGTCTCAATACCCCGACCGCTTAGGGAAGCCTGCATGTGCAAAAGTTTCGGTTCGAGCTTATCCGGCCCAGCGCTACAATAGTACATGAACCTCCCAAACGGATCCATCGATTCGTTCGCTCAACTCACCGACATGTTTGTGGAACAGTTCGGCAGCAGCAAGAAACTCGAGAAGCTGTCAGCCGACTTGTACAGAGTGTACCAGAGAAGGGGCGAGCCACTGAGAGAGTATGTCAGCAGGTTTAACAAAGAGAAGATTTCCATCCCAGCATGCAACCTTGAGACAGCCATAGATGCCTTCAGGGAGGGTCTCCTCCCGGACGGAGAGCTATACAAAGAACTTACAAAGCTGGGATGCACAACAATGGAAGACCCCTTGGCCCGGGCAGTGATCCAAATAAGATGGGAGGAGGATGAGATAAACCGAACGGTTCACTCCAGATACGGTTCAAGGCGGGATGACAGGAAACCAGAGCACAGGCCAGCGAAGCATCGCTACCAACCCCCAGCACACAATTCGAGCAGAGTTAGGAAACCTTATGATCGTCAACCAATAAGAACCGAGAGCAGACAGTTTGGATCGAACCGGTACAAAATACCGGAGTACAGCCTCAACGTCGAGCCGACCCAAGTGGTCGCAATTATGAAAGGAATGGGATCCACCGTTAAGTAGCCAGGCAAGCTCAATCCCGAGGCAAGGAGAGACAAGACCAAATGGTGTGAGTTCCACGGCGATCATGGGCACAACACTGCAGACTGCATCGCTTTATGACTAGAGGTCGCTGCACCTCTAAAGAGGGGACATCTCCGGGATCTGCTAACTAATAAGGGGAAGAACACCATCAGCCATAAGAGTTCAAAAGAACCATCACCACCTCCGCGAAAACCTACACCGAAAGGTTTCTGTTCTCTCATCTCTGGCGGATCAGAGATCAGTAGGGTAAGTTACTCATCAGCCAAGCGATATGCTAGAGCCAACCACCACCATGAAGTCCAGTCCATCCATCCGGCCTCACGGTCGCACACTCATCAGGTAATTCAATTTGAAGATGACGAGCCGAACACCCTGGCGCTCCTCATCACGATGCCCTAGTCATCACCCTGCAGGTCGCCAACATCCTAGTGAAAAGAGTATTCGTAGATGGAGGCTCCTCAGCAAACATCTTACTCCTCGAAACAGTGAAGGCTATGGGACTGGAAGAGGCAAACATCAACAGGTGACCGACGCTGTTAGTTGGTTTCAACTCTGAGCAAAAGTACACTATTGGGGAGATCATCCTCCTTATTTACACCGAAGGAGTGAACAAACAGACCATTTTTCTGGTAATCGACTGCCTCTCGCCATACAGCATCATCTTAGGCCGACCTTGGATCCACGACATGCGGGCAGTCCTATCTACCTTTCAAAAGAATGCCTTCAAAGGCAAGGGTAATTCTTCGTAGCAATTACAGATTCATCCAACCCCACCGACCGAGCCAGGTCAACCATCTATTGAAGAGTTGGATGAAGTACAGATACATTCAGATGATCCTAACAGAAAGACACATATAGGGTCCCGTCTCAAGCCCGAGACCAGAGAAAAGCTGATAGAGTTCCTCAAACAGAACCAAGATTGTTTCGTCTGGTCGCACACTGACATGATCAGAATCAGTCCGAAAGCAAGTGGTCCACCAGCTCAAGGTAGACCCAGATCACCCACCAGTGAAACAGAATAGAAGGAAATTCGCACCAGAGCGTAACCGAATTGTCAATGAAGAGGTCGAGAAGCTCCTGAGCAATGGTATGATCAAAGAAGTCCACTACCCTGAATGGCTAGCGAATGTCGTGGTCATAAAGAAAAAGAACGGGAAATGGAGAGTGTGTATCAACTTTACGGACTTGAACAAAGCCTGTCCCAAAGATTCCTTCCCGCTCCCACATATCGATATGATGGTCGATGCAACTGCAGGTCACGAGCTCCTTAGTTTCATGGACGCTTTCTTAGGGTACAATCAGATCTTGATGCACCCAGACGATCAAGAAAAGACAGCCTTCATCACGGAAAGAGGAACCTATTACTATAAGGCGATGCCATTCGGCCTGAAGAACGTCGGAGCCACCTACCACCGACTAGTCAACAAAATATTCGTCAAATACCCAGGGGACACCATGGAGGTATACATCGACGACATGCTCGTCAAGTCACTGATGGCCGAACAGCACCTCGACCACCTCAGTCAGGCATTTGCCGTCCTCAAGAAGTACAACATGAAGCTAAATCCAGCCAAGTGCTCATTCGGGGTCTCGTCAGGAAAGTTCTTGGGCTACATGGTGACTCAGAGAGGGATAAAAGCCAAGCCCGACCAAATCAGAGCAATGCTTGATACACCGTCTCCAACTTGCATGAAAGACATCCAGCGCCTCGCAAGACGCGTGGCCGTCTTGAGTCGCTTCATCTCCAAGTCGGAAGACAAGTGCCATCTCTTCTTCCATGCCCTCAAGAGGTCTAAGAATTTCGAGTGGACCGCCCCCTGTGAAGAAGCCTTGCAACAGCTGAAAAGG